TTTTCTAACAACAGGGTGAATATTTCTCAGTCTCATTCCATGCTGAGTCAAAAAAAAAAAAAAAAAAAAAAATCCTGTGAATATTAGCACAGCTCTTTCCCTAGACATCTTCATTACAGGGAAGGGAAATATGATTTAATTCATGGATCATTAAATTGAATGCAATTGAGGAACTGTGAGTATTGATTGTGACTGTTAGAATTGGCTTCATAAGTCTCTGAGGTTTATAAAATATTGACTATTTTAGTGCAAAAAAAAAAAACCCCTATTTATACAGAGTCGAGCCCATCGAGGACGTTTGAGAGTATTCATTTGTTCTGTTTTGTTTTAAATAAATCTCATTATGTTAGACCTTTTAATATCGTGAAACAAAATACTCATTTACTGCATTTAAGATGTTGGTGAAAAACCCTATTTACAATATTACTATCTAATACAGAAAACAAACTTTTGTTTTGCTTGTTTTATTTGGCTTATGTTGATCAACAGCTTTCAAACTCACAGATCACCTTAAGAACATCATGCCATCCACATCTCAATTTAAAAGTACCACAAAATCCCCGCAAAAAAAAGGTTTGACTCAGTATTACTGTATGTGTACAGTTACTTCTGGACTTATATTGATTCTGATCCCCATCTAAAGTTTTTATTGCAAGAACAGGTGTTTAAGATTAAAAAAAAATGAAAAAAATCAAGTAATGCTACCTCACTGACCCAAAACAACCCCTACCTTTGGGTCATCTGCGATCCATTGAAGTCTTGCTAATGATCACTAGTGTTTCAAACAAGTGCAGCTGTGGGCGGGCAGTGTTTGAAAATATGAAGGGAGAGCTAGAACAGCGTGCTAAGTTGCTCTTTAATGTCCACTGTCAGAAGAACAAGTCAGTCATGGTCATCATCATCACCTCTACCTCGACAGCTTGGCTTTTACACACACACACACACACACCCACACACACACCCACACACACACACACGCCACCTAATGGGGCTCGCTGCCTCGCTTTATCTCTTGAGCCAGTTGTCTCGGCCTCTTCTTGTCCTGTGGTTTCACAATGGAAACGTGGCCTTTAGCTCTGAAAGCAGCTTCCTCGTTCTCACTTACAGCCTGCTTTTTTCAGCAGCCACACATGGCCCTGCTCTCCCCTTTAGTGCCAGCCTTTGAGGCAAATGTCAGCTAATTAAGGCTTACACGGTCGACCTTTCTCATCCCCACCTGAGCCTCCGCCACCCGATCCGCCAAATCACCCAAGAGCTGAGCCCCATGCTACAGGTTGTCCCGCACAAACACACACACACACACACAAGCACACAGAACACAGGTCAGCGTGGCCTTTGATATGCTAAATGTTGCTGGGTTCCTACAGGGCAGCAGACTTAATTAGAGGAGACACTGAGGAGGCACAATGAGTAAACTGTTAGTGCTGCTGCAGTCGCCATACTGTTGTGATTCAGCAAAACACATGAATGTCTTCCTGCCAAGAAATCAAAGTTTTACTGCAGACTGATACATTTATACTGCGTCTCACTTGGAGTCCTGTTGCTGCTACTATCGTTTCCTGAAAATCTGCATGGTGTTTTCCAACAAAAGATCATTTAAAATGCAAGACATAAACTTGGCTCAATCAACCCACATAAAAAAAAAAAAAAAAACACAGTTAGGACCACCTAAGAATGCCATTGTGACTTCACCATCCCTGCTAATGGACACACATTAGGTACCGTGCTCAAATGTCTTCATTCGGTAAAGTTGATGTCAATTTTCGGAGTGCGGAAATTCACTGATCATCAAGCACGAACGAGACATTTGAGCAGGGTGCTGAATATTGAATATCGTCTCTCCAGTTCAAAGCATTTTCAAAGCAGCGAGGGTACGTTCCAGAGAGGAGAGAACGGAGAGAAGCTGAGAACACTCTGTACCCTTCCACTCTTTTAGTTTTAGTCTGCAGCCGCACAAGTGCATCACAAAATACAGTGTACAGATGAAAAAAAAAAAAAACACTCACATCTTAGGAGAATCTGACACTGTCCAACAGGGTGTGTCTGTTTAAGTGGACAGTTATGGGGACACATGAAGTGAAATGCAAAAAGATATGTAAGAACATATGATTTGGGTAATGGACAAAGGTCCTGTTCATACCTGGGATTAACGATTAACGTTGGCGTTTTTGGTGATCCGATCACCAGGGGACAGCTCTAAGTGCGCCAGTTCACACCCGACTATTGTCTTGAGTGACCAGTTCTGATTGGATCTCACTTCCCCGCTCTATATGCAAATGAACAAGTAAATCATTTCTGTTTGCGCTGTTTATTTTTTTTTTTAAGCCAGTTTGACTAAGATCTGTTTTCAATCTATTTGTGAGAGAAAGCGAGAGAGAGAGAGAGAGAGAGAGAGAGAGAGAGAGCGGGGCAAGGAGGGGCTGAGTGAATCAATGCGCTGCACACAGCTCTACAATGAAATAAGATATGAAATAGTAAAAAAAAAAAAAAAAAAACCTCGATATATAGTGGTCAACATTGATATCGTTTAAATCGATGTATAAGAAATGCTGTGAGAAGTGTAAAAATATTTTCGGTTCATTATGACACCGGCGGGACATATTAGACTGTGAGGGACTGCTTGCTCAGCTGACGTCCTGCGCCAATGTGGCCCAGGACACATTTTGCGTTCACCAGACACGCTTGTTAATGCCATATCTGAGCGGGCCCTAAATGGCACCGACAATGTTATGAGCAGAGAGAGCACCCAGTGTCAAGGACAGATAAAGATCAGTGAAAACGGGGGGAAAAAAAGAGGAGAATTATGTTGCTTTGAATTAAAAAATGCCCGGGAGGGATGTCATCGGGCAATGAACTCTTCTTTGAAGTGGGTGACATCAGCGACCTTGGTTTTGTGAGCGGTGTCTTTATATCACTGTTTAGCAGTTTGGGAATGCACAGTCCGCGCTCCACTGAAAAAGCCTGTTGTTAAAATTCAGTCTGCTCTCCCTAACATTCACTTTCTATGGTTACAGAATAGTTAATGGACCATCCACAATGCATTACTTTCATGAGAAGAGTTTTTGAGATTTGGTGCATTTGTTGAGAAATGTGTGTTAACACAACACAACAACAACAACAACAACAACAAAAAAGACATGATGAGCTTAAAGGAAAATAGAAATGGTCACACACGAATGTGTAAAAGTATTCATTGTGCCCAATGAGGTATATATGTACTTTATCTTATGTAACATATTTTCCTTTCCTATTTTCCTATTTCTCTAGTTTAAACTTTTGAAGTCTTATAAACAGATCCAATTTATCTTTTAGTAGACTTTTGTTCTTTTCGAGTACAGGTTCGGCTTCCAGCACAATGCGCAGTAACTGTTTCCATCTGGATGTCATTTAGATTTATGAGGCATCAAAGAAAAAGGAACAAAAAATAGTTGTAGAGAAACAAACATCTGTTTGAAAAATTGGAGGAAAACAGAAAACACAACAGAAGATAAGAAACCAGCAAAAGCTGTGGGAAGAGCCTCAGTTTACACCTGTTCCTCTTCTCAGGTGTCTCAGCTACTCCCACAGCTTAACCTGCTGTCCCTTCTTCTCCCGCAAATGTATTAGATATTCATTTGTTTTCATCACACACCTGCTATACACCGGCGCAACACAATGCCATTTTAAAGTTTCGATCTGCGGTATCATATGTCCCGTTTTTTTTTTTTTTTTTTTGCCGTTCACTGAAGTGAAATGATTCAACGCCGTAGAGTGAGTCAGCCTACTGTCTAGTCACCTCCGGGTAGTATACTATTTTACATATGATGATCTGCAGAAAAAGTGGTTTGTTTAGAGTAAGAAGAAGAGGAACTGGGTAATTAATATGAGCAATGTAACCTCCCTGAGAGGGCAGACAAAGAGGAGAGTTCCACCTACAGAAACTTGAACGTCATCCACACTAAACAAGATATCAGAGTACCACCTACACCGTTTTATTTACAGGTGAACTGTGGGAAGTGCAATGCATAAACACCAAAGCCAAATGTGCTTATTAAAGACTACAACAAAACAAAGCCCGTGATTTTGTAGATTACTACTTTTAAGCTGATTATTTTATTCATTTTTTTTTTATTATTTATTTATTTATTTTTTTTTTAAAGGGACAGTGTCAGAGGGAAAGAGGCGTCATCTCAGTCTGACACCACTGGTCTGATTTGATACATTTAGGTGCTGTGTTAAGTGATTCCTCTGACTGGTCTAATGGGGTCACTATAATTCAAAAGTTATTTACTTGTCTAATGTGAAGAAAAGTTTGAGGCATGACTCATGATGTTAGTGAGGACATTCAAACAAGTTCCTAAACTCAAACAATGACGCACATCGTTTGATGATGCAGTTTTTTTTGGTTTTTTTTTTTATGATAAATCTGCTGTTGTGAAGTCATTTTAAGATGACTAAAACTCATCATCTCCTACTTCCTACATCTGGGTTGCAAAGGCATGTCTCAAGTGTTGAAGTCAAACATTTCACAACGCGTGTCGCATCATACTAAATAGTTGGAAGTTTTCATCAAGAAAAGCAGTGATTTAGAGTTACGATGAGCTGAAGAGAGTGTAGTGAAGGCCAGTGTAGGCCAGCCGTCCACTGTCACTGTGATACAAGGACATACAATTATATCTGCACACAGACACACACACCAAGACTACATTGGGCTTCTCTGAGTTGGATTGCCAAAAGTTTCAGCTAAACATATCAGGGAGGTTTTAGGTAGCTTTAGGTAAAAATCTAATTCTACTAAACTGGCCTTTTCATATTGTTAATTTACACATTTTGTTTTACTACTGTTGTCTGGATTCTACAATAATCCGGATTTTGCAAATCCCACTTCAGTTTGTTCTCCAAACAATATACAGAAATTACATGCAAATATTTTCTGTTCCTCATTGTACTCACTACAAAATAAACATATATGCACAAAAAAACCACACTAATCCCACTGTACTGTTTGTTTTCGCTTCCAGAGACATCAAACCTGACAACATACTACTGGATGAGCATGGTAAGACCCCTTCCCTCATTATATTATTCATTCATTCAAAATCCAAAAACTGTACGTTAATATTTTATTCGCTTCTGTCATTTTCTAACATAATGTCAACAACATTTGACTTGACTCACACGGTGACCTCACTTGACTTAGCGTCCCAAATTCAACACTTCACTGCTTCTGACTAAGGCTTTTAACCAAACCTCGAACCTCTGGGATCACTTCGGCACAGATCAAAGGAGTCGCAATGCTCAGAGGCAGGTTTCGCAAGTCGTTGCCTGGATAGGCCTTGCAGCACGGAGTCGTAAAATACTTCATACATTCATTTAATTTAACAAACGCAGCATAGAGAGGGAGAGCACAAGCTCTTCCGCGTTTTCCGTCCACGCTGTCAGTCTGCGTTGGTTAAAGTACTGTGACACTTCCATTGTGTTTTTTTTCTTTTTTTCTTTTATCTGAACTATGGTATGAAATAAGGAGTGATGTGATTGGAGTGTGGAGGACAGGGTGCTATTCATCATGCCTCCTCTTTGCTGTACGGGAAAAATCCTGTTCTGAATCTGAATGATTGATTAAGTCTCATCATAGGTTTTAGTGTCAGGTTCACACAAATAGGCTTGCGCGTGCGCGCGCGCGCGCGCGCACACACACACACACACACACACACACACACACACATAATAAGAAAAGAGACAGAGAGCAGTGTGTGTGTGTGTGTATGTGTGTCAGAGGGAGGGGATTGATTGTAAATCAAGGCAACATTAAGAGAGACTGTAAATTCCTTCATCAGTATGTTAATCAAAAGGAATATTAATGTACCTCATGTTATGATCCACCCCTAGAGAAACATACACACATCCTCAGACAGACATGATGGTACAGTGCATGGTACATTACACAAGATAAGATGAAACCACAGGCTGAAACAGCCTCCGCTCTTTCCAAAAGGCTTTCCAAAAGATTTTAACCTGGCAACAGCGATTTGGAAGAGAGGCCTGGCCATCACCCAACATGGGAGAGCTAGTGAGGTCTTTATGGACCTGTCTTTATACACAAGCGTTGCCATGTTGAAAAAAAAAAAAAAAAAAAGATAAACAAATTTTTTTTTTTTTTTTTTTCAACCATATGAACCAGGATGGAAGCTTTTCCTTGGAATGAGCAAACTCTACATCCAGCTTGATTTGTTTATTAGAGGCAGGACTCGCGTCGCTACAAGCTTTAGTAAGAGAAAAAACAGACCGAGTTTGTGCGTATGATGAAACATCTGCTTCATGTGCATGATGATCTGTTGGGTTATGTACTGAACATGAGAATCATTTCAAGAACTCACAGCTGGTTCAAGTGATCAAGTGTGACAGATTATATTAATACTGACTGAGAGGAGATGGTTTAAAAAAAAACAAAAAAAAAAACAGGTTGCATATTGGAAGAAAGTTGGACTTGTACACCAACTGCACAGCGTCCCAGCTGTGTGGCACTGGCATACAGAATAAACAACATGTACTAATATGTTCACATGTGCGGATAAAATAGCATTGGAAGTGGAACATTGTGTATTTAAGTCAATGAATAATTAACCGACTATACTGTGGCATTAAGATTTCCCTTAACTGGAAGTAAGAGGTTTAGTCTCCAACCATGAAAAACAGCCTGACACCAAAACTTTCCATATACTTTTGGCCATATGCTGCACACACATACGACGACACAGGCACGCACGCACACGCCCACAAAAGTCCTGAGATTTCAGAGGGGCACCGGGCAGCTGCTCAGGGGAGCTGAAGGGATATGTGGGATGGCAGCCCTGCTGTCACTACGAACTGGAAGCAGACTGAGAGGGAGGGGGAGGGTCGAGAGACAAGAAAGAGTAAGACAAACAGGGAGAGCCACATGAATAAGACAAAAAAAAAAAAAAAAGAAAGAGGAAAGTGATGAGCAAACATTTCTGGAAAGAAAGATTCGTCAAAGGAAGAAGAATCGGGCAGACAAAGAGAGAGGGAGATATGGGAAGAAGAAAAGATGAGGAGAACAGATTGAGTAAGGAGACAGGGAGCGGCGGATTTTGTCAGTCTCAGCCTTATTTCCACAGGACAACACACGTTCACCTGTGGTTTTTCCTATGTGTGTGTCTGTGTGTGTGTGTGTGTGTGTGTGTGTGTGTGTGTTTGTCCTTTCAAGCTCAATAAGCACTTCTCTCCTCCTCATGGAGTCTACCCATTTTTTTTTTTACTGTGCAGGCCTGTAGTGTACCTCTCCACTGAAGTCTAAAAGAACATGAGGTATCAGAGGGGAGCCAGCGGGCTGTTTGCTTCTGTGCACCACGTCAATTCTGCGAGCTGGAATTGCCCCGTGTTCCTCTGGGAGCTTTTTCATTTGGAGAAAAACAATTTGCTCATGCACGTGCGATGTCGCTGTGTTAGCCGGCGTAGCCCCGGGATGCTTAGAGAAGCTCCAAGAGGGCTGTTGTTCAGGTTATCCACTGTGAGCCCCCCAACAAGCAAACAAAGAATCAGTCAGACTCTTTAATCAGTCTTTCTGGGCACCTGCAAGATAATCTGGTATTGACAGTGCATTAAGTTTTATGTCCTGCCTTGTTGTGTGTGTCATTATTTTGTCATGGCGGCGCCTTTGTCTGTCTGTTGGTGTCAGCAAGCAATCTTGAGAGCACTATAGTTATTACAATGATAGAAACTCAAGGTTTACGTGACACATCTGGTTAGATTTTGATGATCCTTTTTACTTTCTGAGGGGAAACTGGTGCGATTTAGGCCTCCTGCTTTGAGATGCAGAAATGACATCAGCTCCATCTATGCGTTATGCAAAGACAAGCACGTCGCCATAGAAGTATCGGCAAGGTAATGTGTTCATTCATTTAATTGATTACTTTATTGGCATAATTGGGAATGCTTACGTTTAAGTGCCTCTTGTTCATTGCGGTATTATGATATCTAAATGAAATGCCACAATAGTGTTTAGGCGCATACTGTAGGTATCCTCGACAAGGTATTTAACACATCATCTCTCTCTATTATTTGTGGGCACTGACATAAAACCATCCAGGCACCCGTGTTGTAAAGCAGGATTACAACATTGGCTGGATAACTGTACTGAGTAAAACCTGGAACCAGTTTTGTTACTTCAGTCTGGTTTTTGGGTTTGTTGGGGTTAGTTCAATGATAAAAGATCCACAAGATAATAAATGAATATGATTCAAATAATATAATAATCTAGAATAACAGTCTGCCATGGCTGAAATGTTTTTATGTAATAAGTGAGTTTATGTCATCAAAATAAGTGTTGAATTAACTGTATATTGCCACTGTCAACTAACAATATCAAATCATCTCTGTGAGACCAAAAGGTTGCTCTATTAAATTAAATTGGTAGCTATTGGTGCTGTGTGCAGAGCTTGTGCCTTAACTTCTGCTTAAGTGAATATTTAGACTGAAAACTGAAAAAAAAAAAAAAAAATGCAAGGGGCATAATAATTCACTTTACAAAGTAGTCTAAATGCATCTGCACGATTGGCAAACTGATTTGTGTGTGTACAGAATGTGTTATGTCGTTGTCATCGGTGGTGAGGGTGTTTACAGGTGGTGGTATGCAAATAGAAATGAAAAATAGAAAGAGATATGCAGCAGCGTGACATAACCCACGGATCAAACCTCGACAGTTGTGGAGAGGTAATCCCAGTAAAACACGTTAGATAACTAAGCCACCCGACAACATGCTGCCCTGTTGTTCAGCCACCGCACAGAGCACTTTAACTGCAGACACACAGGGGTTAATCTCACTCACTGACGTTTAGATTTGAGAGCAAGGGAATAGAACTTGTTGTGAACTGCATTGTATCATTTTAAAAGATTCAAATTTGATGTGTATTGTCTGTTAGTGCACATGCATGAGCAGAGTGAAGTAGCCCTCTCACAAAAAGCGCAATGGCAGCTTAAAATCCAGAGGATAAAATGAAACAATGAACTGTAATTAAGGCTTAAAGACAATTACATTAAAAGCATTGCAACAGCAGTTAATTCAGTCGTATTCAATGCAATTCAATAAATGAAAAGTAATTTCCAAGCTAGACTGGTTTGTTACGTTCATTAATTTTAACATATTATATCACAAAGGCTAATTAGCTTTCTCTGCAACAAGCAGACTCCTGCTAGTCACTCTACAGGACGTGGTCCTTTAAAATAAAAGCACTCTGTCAGGAATATGCTTTCTCCCAAGCATCCACTTTAATTCACTCACAGACAGACCCCACCAATCAGGAACCACTGCTTTATTACACCCATTCGCTGTACAAAGCAAGTGTTCCACAGACAGCAGATGAAAATCTCTTATCCAAAAGCGATGGAAATTTCCATAGTGCAGATTTGATAATCTTTAAGAATCAATTCCATGCATTGTTTGTCCAGCTTTACAATCCTTTTGACGGTTGTAATCAGCCGACTCAGTGCCATATCTGCCCTACCACTGAGCAAACTACACTCCAAATTACATAGTTAACATTGAATATTAATTAACAATTAATAATAATGAGTCTAGAAGCATCTGAGGCTATACTCCTCCTTACACCAGACTGAGCAAAAGGACCACTGCTGCCATCTTTGGAGTTGTTTTCATCTGATTTCTTTAGTTAAATTTTCAAAGCATGTCTATCCAAGACTTATTTTTTTATTATTTTTTTGCTCCAAGATACTGCCCAGCAGCCCAATATTACTATAATGGTTATCTGTTTTTCTCCACTGCTACTGTGAAAAATTCCTGTCCTAAATCTGTCTTCTGGAAAGCTAGAAGAAAACAGAAAAGGAGGAAAGAAGGAGAGTGAAAAGTTGTTGTTTTTTTTCTTTTACGTGGACAGCTTTGTTATCTTTAAAGGCCCAGTATTCTTGTGTAAATGAATTCTCTTCGCTCCTGCCTTCTTTACATTCACATGCAGTTATCTGTCTGTGTATGTGATAAAATATGCTATTATTTTTTTTTATGTACAGTAATGCTATGGAGATTTTTGTGTATGTGGTTTTACTGTATGTGTTAGTGGGGTTACTGGGGAGATCCACTCATCTGGACAATCACTCTGCGGCAAAAACTCCCCTGCCCTGACTTGCTCTCTCACTCAGTATGGCAAACATGCGCACGCACGCACGCATGCACACATGCGCGCGCACACACACACACACACACACACACACACACACAGATTCAGCTCATTAGTGTGTGCTCAGTGTGCATGGCAAAGACTGTGGGCCATCTTGCAGCACGGTGAGACACAGGTCAGTGGTTTGACTTTGAAAACCACTGAGTTTGCTCCCCCTCCTCTGTCACAATATCACAACATACAACTTTCATTCTGTCAATGAAGGCTCAGTTCATTTACAATTGATACCTTTTAATAATTTCAATGTAAGAGCATTATGATCACTAAAGCACATAAAAAAAAGGATTATTTTAGAGGGTTGTGTAGTATATTTTTGCATATCTGACACTACATATCAGCAGCATACAAGTGGAGCACCCGCTATCTGTAAGCTGTTTTAATTTAATTCCAAAGGAAACACAGACGCAGTGTGTACCGATGCCATGAACCGAGCTCCGCGGTCTTACGGTTGGATGCCGCCCTAGGATTTAAAGGGTTCACACCAGTTGAGTTACTCTAAAAGTGTATTAAAAAACATGCTGTGTCACTTTGAGGTAACGTAAGCTCTCTGTTCCGTAGGGCACGTCCACCTAACAGACTTCAACATTGCGGCCATAGTAAAAGAAGACCTGAAAGCAACGTCCATCGCTGGGACCAAGCCATACATGGGTAAGAAAAACATGTTAGATCAATGCAGGAGACTTCAGCGTCGGGGACTTCACACGGAAGCTCGAGAAAGCAGTTTGAAACTATGAGCTTTAAAATCACAGGAAGCATGGAAAATAACATATACACTCTCGACAGCACGCTTGTGTTTGCTAATCCAAATAGTGTAATTGAATGAATGATAGATAGATAGATAGATAGATAGATAGATAGATAGATAGATAGATAGATAGATAGATAGATACTTTAGCGCACTGTGAAGGTTTCTGTCTATGAAACGTTTTAAGCTACAAATAATCCGCCCATTCCCTCCGTTTTTGTGTCTCTCTTGTGTCCAAATTTTACGAAAGTATATGTCGTGAATTCTTGAGGCTTATTTGTTAGATTTTGATGCATGAGCACAAAAACCGAGAGTAGTTTTTATCTTTTTCAATGCAGCTACAGTCGTCCTCCTCGTGACTCTTATGCACAGCAGTGATCAGATCAATGTGGATTCAGATCAGATAGGAGCTAACAGGATTTTAGGGGGATGTGAATGACGAGGCAGCACGTGTTTTCGTGTGTGTATGAGCGTGTGTGCTCAAGATGGGGTAGTGGGTTTGTTTTTTGTGTGTGTGTGTGCGCGTGTGTGCAACTAGATCTCAGGTGAATACTCTGTGGTGTAGTGGATAATTCATGGCTACTCTGGGAAAAAGAACGCCCTCTCTCAGAGGCCTCAGTAGATAAACTGCACTTTTTCCTCCTCAGTAAGAAGGCAGAGCAAACCTGACATGAAGGGGAGTGTGTGTTTGCATGCATCCTGGGTGTTCCTGGATGAGTAATGGAAATTCATTTTGACCATTTGGAACAAGATTACAGCTGAACAACCTTTTCCCTGGAACAGATTACTCACTTCCATAGGAAACGGGGGGGGGGGGCTAACCAATTTGAGGATTTGATATGCTGAAGAAGCACATTGCATTCTCAAAAGAAAAAAAAAATTTCGAGACTTTATCTTGTAATTATGACTTCTCATAAATACAATATAAGGCCTCCATCTTTCTACGGTCAGTTTCTCGCAGCTCTGTACTGAAAGTGAAAGTGAAATGAGCAGAATTCTCCATTAGCAAAAGCACTGAAACTGATGAGAAAATTCAAGCGGGGACTCGCTGTGAAGAGGGAGCGAGTGGTAGTCATTAGCTAAAGCGTCAACAGCAAAATAAGTTTTAATATCCATCACAAATCAGCAACAAATACTGCACAAGCTTTCCTTGCAACAGTCCTGCTATGTCCGAATAAAACCATTAAGGATCGTCTATGTAACAATGGCTTATGTCTGAATGACGAAGAGACATGACTTTTAACAGATAGATTTAGAGGAAGCAAGCTAAAAAGGTTAAAATTAAAGTTGAATTGAACTGTCCCTGATTAAAATGTCCTTAGTTTCTAACCAAAGGAAAGGTACAAGTGTCATCCCACACCGTACTTCCATTTAATTTTGTTGTATCTTCTCTGTCTCTCAGCTCCTGAGCTTTTTCAGACCTTTGAGGGGTCCCACCCTGGCTACTCCTTCTCTGTCGACTGGTGGTCGCTGGGCATCACAGCATATGAGCTGCTAAGAGGACAGGTAACGTAGACACACACACACACACACACACACACACACACACACACACACACACACACACAAACAAACAGAGGGAGAGAGAGAGAGAGGGAGTACCGTCACCATGTCCACATCTCTACTCACTTCAGCATGGCCTGGCACACTTTACTGCAGTGAATAATGCATATGACACCTACAAGACTGTGCTAGAAAAGTCCTGTCAGTAGCAAAGCAGACGTACAGCAAGTCCTCAGCCACCGTAGAACAAAAGGAAGGGTGAAGCTATAATTGAATTTTACATTTAAGCTAGCCTTACTGGGGAAGATGTTGAAATGTTTAGTCACGGTGTGAGACGAATTCCTGCAGGAGAAAGGAAAAAAAAAAAAAAAAAAAACTGAATCTGAGTTATTTCGAGAGCCATATAATTGGAATTGATTTTTTAAGTATTATTTATTTAATTCTTTGCTGGTCCCATCTGGAGGAGTTTAATTCTGATGTCATGGAAATAAACGCAGGACATTATGTTTTTACTCGATCTCCTTACTCTATCAGGCCGAGCCTTAGACTTTACAGCAGTCTGTTCAGTGTGGACTGAGAGCTGCAGCTGCAGAATTTTCCTCTCATATTTCAGGATGATGACTACACAAATTATAGTAACCTCTGTCTACACTGACAAGGACCCAGAACACCTGAAACTGATCTGGAGCTGTCATGAAGTGTCCCCTGATATCACTTCAGCGCCATCCTTTCTCACCCGTCTCCATAAAGGTGTTGACAGGTTTTTTGGGGGTTTTTTTTTGTTTTTTTATCTCATCACTTCTCCATTATGCTTTCTAAAATGCATTCAGAATTATAGCTTACTCTCACTGGAATATAATAGGGACTTCTCTCATCCCTCACACCAGTGTCCTGTGATTTTTAACTTACAACCTTAACTCATTCGGGAGAGGGTTGCTGAGCACAGCTTCATACCCAGAAATGACTTTCGGTGACATGCTGTAGACTTTAGCCCCATTTCTCTCTCTTTTTCCCTCACACTGCATTTTGTTGGAAGTTTCTCTGTAATTCCTCCCCTAGACTTGTTTTGAACACTCCCTCTGCCGACCACCCCTCACCTTCACCCAGACAATTCATCTTCACATCATCCCTCTCTCTCCTAAGGGTTTTCTTCCACATTTTTCTCTGACTGCCACATTTCAAGACTGTCTATAAAGCGTAAATCACTCTCAGGGCATTAAAGTCTGGCCTGTTGGATGTGCAGAATATTTTAGATGTTGGAAATGGGGAACCAGCTCACTATTATCCAGCTCCAGGCACCTCTCGATCCCTGCTCAGCCTTTACTTCATCTTATCTCTCTCTTAAGCTCCGACCACATCTCACATCATTCATTCTTCACTTTCAGACAGGGTCGGACCGGCCGTCAGGCATACCGGGGACAAATCCCGACGGGCCGCCGCATCGGTGGGCCAGTGGACCGTCAAAGAAATCCATAAAGTTTTTACCGGGCCCTGTCAGTCTCTTTACCGACCCTCCCTGTGTGCCTGTCATTCTAACCCCGCCCCCTGGGGCCGGTCACAGCGGATAAGTCCAGGGCTGAATTTCTTGCTATCAGTCCATTTAACTCCTCTCTCCCTAGGCGTGCTCTCCTGCTAGGTTTCCCCACTGGTTGCAGGTACAGATCCAGGCAACTCAGCATCTCTCTTCAACTGCAAATCAATCACTGTCACTTGGTTTCTCTTCTAAATTACACAAAACTTCTCCAACCCCAGAGGAGGAACACCGAGACCACATCGTCAACTTACAAACAAATGCAAATATATTGTAATACATGAGCCAATTTCTCCCTTATCCACCATCCGACTTTGAACATCTGACTCCAGAGGAATATATCACTGGTTATCTGACACCTCGTATGTGCACCGTATCGGGCACATCTGCAGAATTGGAATATAATTGCCATCATGCATCTGAAAGAGACTGTAGTAAAACTGAATAATGCCAAGGTTTCCACCTGGGTTGCATGTCACTCGCATTTCTCTTTCATCTTCCCTGTTTCTCTTTACTCTGAACCATCTGACAAAGCAGAAATAACATTAAAAGTGCCATTTATGCCTTTTCTCTTCTATAAACAAACAATCCGGAAGAGGCAAATGAAAGGACTGTTTCTCCAACCAGCACGATCCAGCTGTGTCATTCTCCAGCTCAGGTGAAAGGGAGTCTCTATCTGTCCTAGACGAAGCCCAGAGCGTGTACACCGGGACTGATGTGAAGAACTCTCTACAGGTTTTCCCTCGTTTTCTGACCAACAGAAAGACCTCGCACTCCCTTATTTTCCGTTTCCTGTGTCATTTGTCCTCATCGGTGCGGGGAATAGGTTCACGGAAGGTGAGAAGAGAGGCGCGCGAGAGAGAGAGAGAGAGAGAGAGAGAGAGACAGAGAGACAGAGAGACAGAGAGACAGAGAGAGAAGAGAGGGCCGACTGCGGAACAAACTTTAAGACACACACTTTATCAAAGAAAACTCCTCCAGGTAGTGCATGACTATGAATACAAGCTGTCTGTAACATATTGTCTCCTCTTTCCTCTCTTCTCCACCCCTCCCCACCCCTGCCCTCCCCTCAGAGACCATACGTGATGAGATCCAGCACACCAGCTAATGAGATCCTTCAGACCTTCCACAAGGTCCACCCCAGCTACCCAGCAGCCTGGTCTTTGGAGATGAAGTCTCTTCTCAGAAAGGTAAATGAGCGGCACATGCCTAATGCAGAATGTAATGTAGGGGCTGATGTATAGAGGGTATGCATTTTTGTCACTTTTTCATATAACACTTTGTCCTATCGCTGGTCCTTGGCCTGAATCTGACCCATGTATTTCCACATCTGGGTTGATTCCGGCTGTTATCCCCCCAGTATGGGCTGACACCAAGGATGATTTTCTGTGTGTGTGTGCCGCAATTGGTCCGGAATTGGTCCAGAATTGGTCTGACAGTCATGCTGTATGTGGGCCGGATTTGGGCCGAAGAACCGAGCATATAACGAGCCAGAACAAACACAAATATGAGGCCCAAGAATTCGCCAACATAATTTTGCTATCTGCCCTGCACCACCACTGAGCCGCAAAACAAAACCAACAAAATTTTGATAAAGTTGGAAATTTTGGTTTTATTGCTTCATTCAGAAAACTGTGTTCTTGGTTCACCGATGTTACACAATCCCCCAAAACTCATGTTGCTTCTCTTCTCTTTTTATTTTGGCACTAAATCCTTTGCCTGAATTGTTCCTGACTCTATAGGCAACCGATTGCACAACTACTCCGCTCCCATTTTTAGCAGTGTTTTAGATTTTTCCCCATGAGAATGCACAATGGCAGCTGCTGAATGTCACGTGTGCCACTCCTGATAAGTGAACGTGGCATCTTCAGAGTAGTGCGACATCACTTTCACTCCATCTCACACTTACTCTAACACTAAGGATTGGATATGACTTGAGCTCTTGAGTGTATGCCAAACCTCTTTCAAATGTGGGTGGGTGAGAGTGTCACCTTGTGCAACTTGAATGTTGTTGGAATTAGGTCTACCACACGTCCAGAATGTAATGTAGTCATTTATTTAAACCTGCACTGGCCAGCTTCTCATATTGATAGCGCCTGGTGGCAAAACTGAATCGGTCTGACTGTCAAGTGATCCCGTTGTAAATACGTAATGGACAAGAGAGGCTAATATTTGTAAGTTTAGCATTTTTTGTCGATAGACTGCTTTCTACCTTGCACGAGTTTGGATTCTACCCCACGTGTCTGAATTCTTAATTTCCTGTGGGAAGACAATTATCCATAACTGACGCCAGCAAATACGGTGCATGTACAAATTCATAATTAGGGGGTCAGTTTCGTTGTTGCAGCACTACTTTGTATACAAGCGGTTTATTTGTTCAGAAAAGTCTTACAGCGAGCAGCGCGGCTTTAGAATTATAATGATGGAGTTTTGAAAGACAGGGACTTGTATTGCTGGTGACCCGCAGTGTAACTGTTGCTCAGTAAATATATATGAGGTACAAAGTCAACATGACCTGCATTTTTCCCTTTAACGTGCAAAAATCTACCTAACCCATCTCAACACTCTATGCATAATTAACTATCAGAAGTCTATTCTTCTCACATCACAATTAAACCACTTGCAAACAGATACACTGTTGCTGTAGCATTCGGGTTTTGTCTTGGCAGCGATCCACTGCAGTCAAACTGTTGCATTGCTTCGTGCTCAGACTCCTCGTACCTCATTGGCATTCCAGTCGCATGTGTAAGTGTGTGTGTGTGTGTGTGTGTGTGTGTGTGTGTGTGTGTGTGTGTGTGTGTGTGTGTGTTTGAGAGAGAGAGAGATGTAAAGAAAGTGAGACTGTAAGAGGAGAATTCCACGCTCAGTACAATTTTCGTTCGTCCTTCACACTTCACAACCTGCTGATTTTACCTCATCACCATTTTTGTATATGTATGTCATTTTCTTTCCCTCTCCCTCTGTCCCCTCCCTCTCGCTCTTTATCTTCCTCATCCCTCTCCTGTCCTGTCCCTAATATCCTCCACCTCCAACCCCCTTTGTCCCTGTATCCTCATTCTCAGACACATCCTTTAGGGCAGACATGTGCTCGTGTCTCAGTGGGACTCTGTCTATAACTTTTGAGCCATGCCTCCCCATGGACAGTTGTTTTATTCTAAATCCTTCTGTCTCCTTCAGTTGCTGTGCATAGATGTCCAGAAGCGTATTTCCTGTCTTGCGGAGCTACAGGATCTGGACTACATGTCAGACGTCAACTGGGACGCTGTTCTCAGCAAACAGCTTCCTCCAGGCTTTATTCCCAACGTGAGTATCAGAAATAAACTCAGCACTGCTTCAGTATGTTACCCAACAAAATGCTCACATCTGAATAGGATAGAATAGAATATTTTTTTCGTCCTGCTGTATTATATTGCTAATCAGATCGATCACACTTTCTCCAATCCACCCTCTGTTTCCCTAAAAAAAAAAAGTGTCAATCTGTGGATTCCTTAATCTGAAATACTTTACAGCTCTTACAGTATAATAGTAATAGCATGATTTTGCTTTTTTAAAACAATGCCATCTATCCCTGAAAACCCTCCTCCCTTCTGCCGCGTCCCCATACCTATCCAAATAGCAATAATTCCCCCAAAGGGACAAAGACATAGGGAAAGAAGAAGTAGCCAGAAAGACACACTCTTCATCTTTTTCTTGTAAAGCTGTAGACACTGCCCCCTGCTGGGCTGAACTGGATCTCCCACTGAGTCTGTAGATACCCAGACAGAATGGACAGAATACAGAATAAGGCAAAGCAACTCATATGTGCATGCCTCTTGGGCACAGACAAGAGCAGAGAAAGTCTGCAGGTCAACAGGCGGGCTCTTAGTCATTATAACAGGTTGGAGATAGTGCCCGCATGTAATAACATCATTAGGCTTCCTGCCTCCAGCCTGCTTGGCAGGCACGCCGTTATGCTGCGCTCTCTCTGTAGTGTCAGGTTCTTAAAGAAGCTGCGCTGATTTACTGTACCCAGTTTCAAGGCTGGTAACTGTACAGTAGAAAATCACACAAGGTCTGAATGACAGCCTGCAGAGCCAGTCTGTTAGCTTTTATGTGTATGCGATAGATTGATTCAGGTACAGTGATGACAGATATCGCCAAATAAAATGATGGTTGTATCGTTGGTCATTCAGACCGACGAAATGATCATGTAATACAAAAATCATCCTGTATTGTTTTAGTGAAGCAGCAAGGTGACAGTAACTGTCAGTGCTTAGTGCAATGGCTGAATAAATGCATAATAATGACCGTTGCAAGTGAATAGATGACTAAATGACTTTATCTAATTCCAGTAAAAGTCTGTAGTGACTGCAGAGCAGCGGGTATCCCAAGTGGCCAGGCTGGCACAGCAGAGGAAAAACAGAGGATCGATGGGGAATTGACAGCATCTCTCTATCTAATTATAGGCTCCTCCTCTGTCCTTTAGTCCCTTACAGACCATTAATGTTTGAACATGAAGGGAGAACTCAGCCCTTATGTTTTGTTTTCTAACTCTCCCGCATTTTCTGCTTTGTCTTTATTGGCTTGCCGCCATTCGAGCCTTCATCTTTTATGTAAAAGTGTGCATCGCATCATTCTGTATTCTATCACATTTTAACCTAATGTATTGTAGAAGACACCAAATTTAATCATTGCATATTTTTTGATGTGAAGCACATGTCAGACGTTTTGTGGTGAGAGTTTAAGTTTTCCTCCTCTTGTTTTTACCAAGTATTATTTTCAAAATTTACACAGAAACATGAATCAGCAAATGTATAACCAGCACCAAAACACAAAAGTAACCGAAACCAAGTTAACAAAAGTGCTTTTTTTTGTTGTTGTGTGCGTCTCTACAGCGGCGGAGGCTAAACTGTGACCCTACGTTTGAGCTGGAGGAAATGATCCTGGAGTCCAAACCGCTTCACAAGAAGAAGAAAAGGCTCGCTAGAAAGACCAGGGACCAGGGATCTGATGGGTCCCCACAGGTAAGGATTTCAATTAGAAACACTGAACACAGTAATTACACATTACACTAGAAGGATGGAAAGGGTTTGTGCCAAAATGAGACACTTACCACTTGAAAGCAGCAGCAAGAAATACTGGTCAAGAAACAGAGTAGGTTTAATTTTTTTATCATTTTTATCAAATTACTTTTACAGATCATGAATAATTTAGACACTAAGCTCTTTTTTAACAACCAGTGTTCCTCAAAAAAGGTTTAAATAAAAAATTTCAGTCAATTTTAGGTTGATTCATCCTGTTCTTAGCAGATCAAACTCTTATGAAGGTGTCTTTCCCTCTCAGCGCTCATCATTATTCATTAAAGAAAGCTGACTGCTGGTTTCATTTGGCCCAGTTACAGGTGATAACTTGCTCCTTAGTTTGTCTTTTAAATGTGTCTGGAGTGCCATTAAGAACATCAAGGACACATTTCAGAGCTCTGTCCTCCCTCACCTTCATCGGAATAAATTTGCCGCCTGCCCGCTGTGCATATGGGAAAAGGTAAAGAATGCAATCACCTAGCTCTTTTTTTTAATTTTATTTCCACTGTTTCACTCCGTCCACATAAATCTAAAGCTGTTGTCCTCTGGGTGTTTATACAAAAGAACCAGGAAAACACATAAAGGTTAATTAGATCACCCGGTCAACTGAGACGTGGGAGGAACACACGCATATAAACACATTAAACACTCATAAAAACTATGATGGCAAAAGCCGTCAGGCAGCTTCGGCCAAGAGCAGTGGTTTTATTTTTGGTCTAGTGCAGTGGTGGGAGCGGATCAGTGCCATCGCCTTTGTTTCAAGGCTAACTGTAACTTAAAAGACCTCAAGTCATTCGTGTTTACTTGCATCTTAAGTCCAAATCGGACCCAGAGTGTTGAAAATCTTTGAGGACGAGATAGGTCAAGTTAACAAGCTCTAAAGCAAGGCCTTCTTCTAAGGGTATGTGCAAAACTGTTTTTTTTTTTTAAAGAAAATATTTTGGTATTAAAACTTAGTTTCAGTATTTCTGAAATTTAAAAAGAAAAATATTGTGCAAACATGTTTTCCATAAACACATAGGTCTTTGGTCGGCTACTCGTTTGATTTGATATTAAAATCTGAACTTTAAATTGTAATTTGTCACAAGCAGTTGCTGCCATATACATGTATACTGTTTGACTGGTTATTCAACACTCCTCTCCCGAGATGACTCCTGGATTCTAATGAGAGAGATTCTAAAGGGACCTGCTAGGACATCCCTTTGTCACACAGTGCTTAAGAAATCCGATGCTACATCTGACCCTAGAGGTTACAGAACTGGTACAGCGAGGTGCAGCACTTCCCGTCTTGAGTCACTCTCCATCATCAGTGCATAAGAGATACAGTAAATTGCAGAATCCCCATTCATACATTAAAGACTGAAGCCAGTTTTCAACAATAAAACACTTTCCTGACAGTTTTCCTGCCACTAGAGAGACTGTAGTAATGCAACTTTAAAAACGCGTATCCAGGCCTGTTTATCACAGGAAATGTATTTACAGTAGAAGAGTCAATTGATCAGTACAACAGGGAAGTGCCACACTGAATTCTAGGCATCTGTCCAATTTCAAATCTTTAGATTTTTCCACTGAGACAGTAAAAGTTCACAGTCTAACTGGAATTAAATGGGTCGTGATTTTAATTTGTGTACTTTCGTCAGCAAAAGTGCTGTACTGTGTGTTGGGTCTTGGCTGCTATCCTAAAATATTGTGCGACACCACTGCAACACGTGCATTTAAAACCAATGGCATTGCAAAGTCAGTGAGTTTGGCCCTCCCCTCACTCTTTGGCACTAAACATAAGAGTTTGTGTGACTCCTTTCTAATAGAAGTGCAGCAATTTGTTTGGTCTGGACTCTAGAGCACATATCTTGCCAGCTTGCAATAAGAAATCAGAGCTGGCCCATTGCGCACCATGTTTTATAAAAGCTGACAACTGCTTGTGGAGGCCTGTCTGTGTGTTGTATATATCAGTTATATCTCACTGTGCAGCCAGACAACATTCATCATCCCCGGATCCATATAGACAAAAGTGAACGTCTCCCATTCCAATAAAATAAAGATAGCAGCCTTTCAGGGAAACATTTGTTATGTTTATGGAGACGGGTGAAGTAACAGTGTATGGTCAGACTGAAGGGAAACTAACAGTCAGTGTCAATGAAATGTTGTTGTTTTTTTTTTTTACTCTTGTACCTTGCATTTCCTGATTAAATCACCTTATTTGTTCTTGTAACATTTAGCCAACATGTGATTAATGCAGCTCGACCAAAATCCGGCTATTTGTTTGTCAGGTCTTTTACATGTTTATTTGAAACAATAAACAACTACATTTATTATGCGTTATAAGAAAGACTGAGGTTGGTATGCATTCTTGGAGAGTTTTTATGCAGATCAATGAGTTTATTAGTGGTAAATATAGTAGTGGTTAACATTTGTTGAAGAGATCAAAGGCAGAAGATTACAGAAAGAAATTTAGAGTTTAACTCCCTCTTCAGTGCACTGCTGAGGTAATAGTCCCCCACTTTTAAATTACTTGCCAAATACCTCAGGGTCACATTTGAAGGCATTTTTTGATAAATGTTTGTTCAGAAAACACTCTTTGTAAAGAATTGTTTTCAAAATTGAAGTCATTCACACCCACCTTCAAAACTACCCATCATATTTTCAAACGCTGTATTCTGTAATTATGTCTTGCATTTATCTCGCATTGTTTATAGCTTCTTCAGAACGCTGTGGCTAAACTCTTCCTCTAATGGCAACTTAACATTAGCTCCTGGCTTGTTACAGAATTGACCTCAATGTCCTTGAATTCTGTTACATACTGGCTTGTGGGTTAACATTTGACTCGACTGTGGACAAGCTGTGGGGGGGGGGGATCTTGGTGGAAATGTCTGGTTAACAACAGTAAATGTTCTCCTGCTAATCAGCTTAATACCTCTCCTTCACTTCGGGATCGTTAAGTCAAATATATATGGTAAAATATAACACTGAAACGTTTCACCTTTTCTCAAAACTGATTTGTTAAAGCTGTTATCTATTATTCATTTCAAGCGGTCATATTTTGCAGTGTGTGCTGGTCTGATAAATATTAGTCTGTGTTGGTGCAATGCTTTATGATATCCTTTTACAAAAGGACCTGTGGGGCCACTTGAGATGGATGAATGTGAGAGAGAGACGAAGAAAGAAAGCAAATGCTTGATGCTGTGTATGTGTCCGTCTGTGAGAAAGAAAGACAGAGAGAGAGAGAGAGAGAGAGAGAGAGAGAGAGAGAGATGCTCTGAACAGCATTTCTGAAGCATAGCAGATCAATATTGAATGAAGAAAGCTGTCCCAGCCTGCTTCTTACTCATTACCCTGAGGCTACTCTGTATTCTTTTTGCATATTTCTCTTCTCTACTCATTTTCTTCTCCAACCTTCTGTCACCTCCCTTGTCCTCGGACTCCTTCTTGCCGTCTACATGTCGCGCTCACCCTCCCACCCCCATACAGTATATGCGTCCCCTTCCTCATCTATTTTCCTAGCTCCCTTATTTATCTCTCTCAGCCTCTGCCTCCCTGTTGCTGCAGCGCTCATAATGTAGCATGGAATTAGCTCAATTAAATCACTGATAATATACAGCAGAAAATTGGACTCGTGCTGTGAGAACAAAATAAATTGGCATGCCCCCATCACACACACACACACGCGCACACACACACACACACACCTCTCTTAATCAAAGATGTCATAAAGATGTCATTCAAGTTTATTATTTACTACATGTATGAAATACGTCTACACCTGTCTTGCATTAATAAGAACAACAGAGCAGGGAAACAAAGGCTTATTGTGCATGTGCTTGTGTGTCTGCATAAATGTCATTGTCCAGTATAGCCATCTTAATGACTCTACTGTAATAATTTTAACACAGGAGAGTGTAGACAATGGAGAAGATTTAGATATTGTGACACAGTATTTGTGCTTTTTTAGTCTAGAGTTAGTGTTAGCATAAATACTTGATGGTATTTACTAATAATACTAATGGTATTTAGAACTGAATTTCAGAACAGTTTAGAGCAGTTATGGTAGTCATAGCTACTGGAGTGTTGCTCAACACTTTCTCTGCACCCCAAATAATTATCGCTGTACAGTAAGTGATGAATTAGCAACTGAGCAGCTGTTTGCTAAGTTTGCCATATCAGCTTAAAAGGCGACCGATATGTCAATTTTATGTTCACAACTCCATTCCGCTGCCCCTGCACTCAGTCGTTGCAGCTTTAAGATTAATAAACGATGTACTAAAATCACGTGATAATGAATGTAAAAGAAAAAGTTTTTCAGCACCATGGAAAGAGACACAAAGAAACTGGGTTTAAATGTTTTGGTTCTATGCTAAGGGAAGCAAACAGTTTTTCTTTCACGCCATGCAGTGTCATTAAGTGATCCACAGAGGATGAGATAAACAAATAAATAAATAAATATAACTTTTACGTTGATTCTTGTTTTTACAAAGCAATCCCCAAAGTGAGGTGAAACATTATACCTTTAAGTATGATACATTTGTAGAAGAGGGTTTTAGCATTCTTCCCATCCTTTCCAATAATTCCCTACGAGAAAGATTTAAATTTGACGAAAATGTATGTGTGCTTGCTACTAAGCAAACGGAAGCTGCATAGGAGTATTGTAAAATCACTTAATTAGTATTAGCATCAGGCACATCATTGGGCCACTGGCAGAGACAGAGAGCTGTATATGTATCTGGGGATACGGCTTCATGCCACTAATTAAAAGTGAGGACTGAGTCTTCGGTTTAGTTCTGAATACAAGAATATTATCAGAAGCAGTCAAACAGTTGCAGCTAAAAAAAAAAAAGTAGAACTTGATCTGCATAGTTTTTCACACTTAATGACAAGCTCTGCCTAAAATAAAATGTGTCTGGACTATTCAAATGCATAAACATTTTTCATATATCAAATTTTATGTATGTATATATACATATATATACACACATGCATACATATACAATTTTTCACATATCATGAACAATATACGCCAGATGGTGTATGGGAAATGGGAAAACCTACAATTGATATCATACCTTCTAAAAAATAGTTGATCTAAAAGTGATCGTATCCTTTTTTGGAAGCTGTGTAACATTTTAATTAGAACCCATGCTCTCTCATTTCCACAATATTTTGCAAATGCCTTGTGCTTTTTGTCCAGTGTTCTTAAGATATCATTCAGGGATTCTTTAAATTATTAGGGTATTATTTATGTTATCATAGACTGTTTAAATGTCACATAATTCCCGTTTCAACTACTGTACACATTAGCAGTCACATTAAAAACAAAACGGCCCGATCTTCAGACAGAAACACAGTATAGCCCAGACAAGGACGTTGAGAAATGTCCCTGATGGGCTCGTATCCAGCAGAGCACTCCCTGTTGGTTCGTCTCATTAAATGAAAAGTTTAATCCATCAGTTGGAGCAATTAACTTCTGAACTGTCTTTTTAAAAGCATCTAATAAAGAGAGGGAGGGGCGTAGAAAGGAACAAGTGGTGAACTGTCTACAGTTTAAGTAATGTTACTGTTCTCTCTACAAGGCCAGAATGCCAAGCTTCTTCCCATATTTCCATCCAACCATCCATCCATCCATCCATCCATCCTTCCCAACAACCTTAAAAGGATCTCCATTTGACCCCCAATGATCAACACAGAGCATAGCAAGGAGATGCAAAACACAGATGGATTCAGTCACAATAGAAACCCTCACAAAGTTAGAACTAGAGAAAGAGAAAAACATAGAAAAACAAGTATGTTATAAAAACCTAAAAAGCTACGGCAGATTCAAGATAACTGTAAAATTTTAATCCAATGTGTTTCGAATTTTTCTTCCCCAAGTCTCCATTTGGGGATGTCAGTTCGGGAAGCTTGCTGTAAAGTCCCATTGCGCCCTATTCAAGTATACAATATCAGTGCGTACAAAACTTTGGCAAAGTGCAGTGATAAAAGTATGTGACATTACTGCGGATATCTGCTTGAATATGAATTAATTCAGAGTCTATGTGTCATGACTAAACAACTTTGCCAAGAGAGCAAAGTGACATTTAGACAGGTTTATAATTTATTTACACTTATCCACTTCAGATGGTTTGAGATACCTTTTAGCAAGATGTGTGCTTTTTACAAATAGGGGAGCTACTCCTCTCAAGTGTAATTAACTAACTTGGAAGATGATAGAACTGATGTATTGCTTTTTAGTCAATCCATGCCAGTTATCCATAGTTATTAGAATAGCTAAACTGCTATTGTTTTTGTTAGTTACACAACACCTTCAGGTGCACTGTACCACCCATAGGATTGGAGAAAGGTCTACGCTGACTCGCATGTAGCTTGAGGAAACCAAGCCTGATGCAAACAGATTGATGAACTGGCTGATGGAGATGCAAATTTGTGACTGAATGTAAATTAAAGTGTATTAAATCGCATCTGATTTTATCCAGATGGGGGGGGGCACTTGAAATGACAAATGTTTTTTATTGTCAAGCGCTGTCATACCGTCAGAGCCAAGAATATGTCATTATGACTGCATTGGAGAGACGCTACTTCATACATTGTGTCTCATCCGTCTTATCGCTTCTTTTTTTTTTTTGTATCACATCTTTCTCCGTGGTTTGACAAATGACGTACAGTTTTCCTCCTCTGTCTCTGTCTGCCTGTTTGTTTCTTTGTCCTTTCTGCAGTCTGCATCACCCACACACACAAGCACACCCCGTTCTGTTTGGCGGTTATATAGTTAAATTCCTCCCTGTGTTCATGCGAATGTTTCCGTGATACTTGTGATACTCCTCTGCCATAAACCCACCACAGCTAAAGACATTTTTTCACTTTCAACTGACATATGTGCCAATCACAGACCCGCTTCTTATTTCTTTCCCCCTCTCCCCCCTCTCTCTTGCATGCATGCAAAATTAATACAAAACGTACACTCTACGCCTTGTGTTGTTTTCGTTCACCTTTCAAATGTACATACACAACTCCCTCTCCTCTCTCTTTATTCCTCTATGTTCCTGCCCTAATTTAATTGTTGTTTTCAGTCTGCCAGTGGCTGCTCCCCCCCTCTGCTGTGACAGCACCTGTAAACAGCCTCTGTTTTGGGGGTGTGCAACTGACATCTCTGGCCAGGGACTCTGCCATTTCCTGAAGAGGCTTCCTAGAGCCCAAGCTTGGAGTTTTGAGGGGCTGATCTGACTGCTGCAGTTTGTGGGAAAGCAGCTTATATGTGCATATTGGTCTGTGGATGTTCGGATGTTGCCTGCCTTTAGGTGCCCCAACCTTATAAGGTTGAGGACACGCTCTCAAGTGGGGAAATTTTGAAGGTCCCAAGTTGCAAGTTTTGGCTGAAGGCGTAGGGTTAATATTGGACTTTGAATTACATTTAGGTTAGGGTTAGTTGCACACATGTGGTAGTGATATTGGTAGGACTTACTGTTGACAACAGTTCTCCTATTACACCATCTGCAGAAGCAAATGAACAAACACTGCTGTATTTGTTCATTTTGTACCTGTTGTGTTCTTGTGTCTCTGCTACTTTGTCCCTGTCACTCACACGCACACACACACACACACACACACACACACACACACACACACACACACACACACACAGTGCTGTGTTATAATGATGTATCTCTATGATCTTTCTCCTCACTGTCTCCTTGGGAGAGTGAGAAAGCACCTGTCTACTTGTCTTGGCACCACAGCAGTGTGAGGACAGCATGGCATGACAGAGCCGGATGTTCTCACATGATTAAGTGGGCCAAATATGTATGAGAACATGGCACAGGTGGAGACATGAGGGCATAAAAGTCCTCTAAAGCTAGGTCAAATTCCTCTTCGGGCATCTTATTAAAGGAGGGGAATCGGATGAGAGGGAAGTCATGTGAACAGTTGCTGATGTTCTATGTTTGTCTCTCCTCCAGAATGGTCAGTTGCAGCAGCGACTGGATAATGTCCAGAGAGACTTCATCGTCTTCAACAGAGAAAAGTAAGGAACCTCCACTACCTGTCATTCCCTACAATACTGTGCATCTTTCTGTGAAATAACGGGCATGGAAGAAACATCGCAACTGTCATTGTTGTGGAACTAACGATGCCTCCTCTTCAAATCTAATGAAGTCCTCTTTCAATATTTTACGTTCTTTCATTGCACGGTCTTTAATGAATCCCGTTTGGTTGACCGTATGCAGGGTATGGTTAATAAAATGTTCCATAGTTTGTCGACTAACAGTTTTCTTTGCTGGCTGGAGAAAGCATGTAGGATGGTGTGAATGGAAAGTAATGTGGCTATTTGTGGCAGAAGGTCTGGTCCATATACAGTATGTGGGTGTGTGATTAAGGCAGAAACACAGCAACTGGAAAGAAGTGAGTGTCCCCCATGTTGACTATATTATGTAGAATGTAGAATTATGTTGATGACATTTCAGGAAGTAAATCCAAAACTGAATAAATCAAAGTCAAGGAATAATATTCACCACTGATTTGCATAAGTAAATGTTAAAACAAATGAGGTCTTTACTCATGTGAGTGGAAGCCAAGACTATTAGAAATATACAATAAGACTAGAATAGAGTATAATTCATAAGATATTTCATAAGAACAGAAAATAATACTTCCACAGTCTAGTCAAAGTCCAAATAAAAGTTAAGTAAACACGAAGCAGTATTTGTTTGAAGAGGGAATACATCAACCTAAGAACGTAAAATATCTTTTTATGAGAAGTTTAAAATCAGTCAGCCAATTCTTTTATAAAGAACTATAAAGTATGGCTCAGGCATACACAGCAGGACAAATGGTAGGGTAAACTGGCAGTAAAATCAGACTGTTTTGGCCATCGCAAGGCTATGGGAAAGGTAAAATGATAAGATGTCTAACATTAGCAGTTATCATTGACCATCAGAGGTCAAATGATAAAATGACAATAAGACCAGTTGCCAACTTTGACTCTTACATGACAAAAATGTGATCTTGAACAGAACATTATTTGATTTTGACTTCTTGTCTGTTTTCTTATAGAACTGATTTGTTATGCTTTCTTTAAGGACTTGCACTGTTCAATATTAACAACAAGACGTTCTTCACTCTACAGGTCCAGGAAAGCAGTGGTGGACTCGGAGTCTTCTGAGCTGTCCATGAGTGAGAAGAACAAGGCAATAGAGGACGGACAGAACAACAATGTTGAGCCGGCTGCCTACTTACCAGGATAGGTCTTATGACCCGAGATTCCTACTTATTCCCTTATCACTTGCACCTGCCCACAGCTTGTAGATCAGCAATTTACACCTAGACACCTATTGTTCTATCAGCACAGGCACTCAGAACTGGTCTTCAGTGTTCCTGCACCACTATTTCATCTATACAAAAACAAATGCAGCACTGTATGCACCTGTGCATCACAGTTCACAAAAAAATAAAATAAAATAAAAAAAAAAAAAAAAAAAAAAACAAACACATTATCAAAAGCTCCAGAACTGCAGGAGTGAAATGGACTCCTGGAGCAGCAGCCATGCCAGAGCCAGGCTTTTATGCTTTCTTGTCACCAAAAACAATGACTCTCTGCAGAGTGTCACTCATGCCATGCTCCCTTACATCACTCTGGTGCTCTAAGGTCTGCTCAACCTCTACTCTGGGCAGTGTGCTGAAGTGAAAAGGAGGTCACTTCCCTGCCAAAAAAAAAGAAAAGAAAAGGAGACCGTGCCACACCTGCTCAGCTAGCAAATAAGTGTCTGATGTGGTCAACTGTGGCTGAAAGCTGTTTGTGATGCTGCTGTCTTGAGCGGAACAAGGCATTTTTTCTGGTTAATTACAGATATTTAAATGAAACAATGGTTCTCCAGTGCTACACTCAATATAATGGCACAAGGAGTTGGGTTGGCAACGTACTGTACACTGGAAAACAAGCACTTGGGTGGACGGCTTCGTTTCATGCGATTTACATGACTTGAGAGTCGAGCATGACACTAAGAGTACAAAACATTCAAACGGAGAGGTTATTAAAAGGTAAAACGAGGCCTTTTGTTTTTACCACAGCAACCACAGATTCCTCTAAGATAGAAATTCAAGAGCTGAACTGTAGGCTTGAGCGCGAATGGCTCACTTTATCATAGCAGCAGATACATGGTTGCAATGGTCATTATGCTAAGCTTTGCTAGTCAAGCTAACAAAGATGGTAGGACTGCAACATTTGGTACAATGAACCAGCTTTATCAGCTGCAGATATAGGCAAAACACGCTCGAAGATTTCTTTACTTCTCAATGCTTTAACTTACTATTGAGCCAATACAGAATTTTGGAATGCAGTTAACAAACAATGGTTTTAAAATTAAGCTTGAAGGTCTATTCCTGACCTTGAAAGTTTATATGGGGCTGCTTCGTTCAGGCCATCAGACATGGCTTAAAGCTTCGACCAAACCACTGATGAAAGGTTTTCGTCAAACTGGTTTTAAAAATCCTTTAAAACGGTGACCATTTGGACTAACCTTTGCCTCAATCTGCAAATGACCAGCTGGGTCTTCAATTACAGCTATGAATACATAGAAAAGATAGCTGGTAGATGTTATATGTTCTGCACTGAATCCTGCTTTGCACATGCTTCTTCATCAACTGTAGCATTTATGCACAGAGAGACAAACAAAAAAAAAATCTTAAACTGTGAGTGAACACTTATTCCCTTAGGGATGGTTTTATAGACAAGGATTAAGCTGAGTCCTAGATAAGATTCATCTTTCAGTTACTGTCTGCATAAAAATTTGTTTTTGTCACGTAATTTTTTTTAATGTCCTTCCTCTCTTTTTTGTTGTACAATCACATCTGTGCCACCAGATAAGTCTGTAAATTTGTTTTGCAATTAATTGCTCCCACAGAAGAATAAGGCATTTGCAGTCTGCTTCTGCAACAACAGTCATGTGCAGATGGTATTCAAGAGTAATCTGAAATTCAGCACCAGCTGGATAACACAGTGGTGGGGGGGGGGGGGGGGGGGAATTAAATCTCAATATTGATTTTCACAATTTTTCAAACTCATGGTTATTAACAAGAAAACACTGAAGGAAACAAATAAATACCAGGCAAGGCAACACCCCTCATTCATACTGTGAGATTTACTGTAGACTTGGGTAAAACCACGTCAAAGGAGCCACACCTGCCTCTGACGCTGGCAGAGGGATGCCTTATACCGTAGATATGGCACACGCGTACGTGGAGGTAGTAAAAACCTGCGCTTTTTTCACAAACAGTAAGTAAATGTGATTTCTACTAATGCCTAGTCATTCTATATTGACCTTGATCTTATCTCTCTGCAATATGACTCAATCCTTTCAAGTCTATTAATACCTGTAATTATATTTAAAACATTTTCAATTCAAAACTGTTGGCACTTTTCTATTGGAAATTGGTACAATGTTTTGACTTACCTTTGTGTTGTTGTTGTTGATGTTGTTGATGTCGTCACTGATGTAATTTTACAGCTCCAAAGGTGGTTTCCTGTATAAGTTGTAAGATAAAGTGGGAAAGTTAGATAGGTGGATTAATCATAGATAAACCCAGAGTCAATAATATTTGTGAATAATTATCATAATTTGCTCATAGGAGCACCACATTGGTTGAGTATTGTTGCATCAATTTGACTGGTAATCATCTGATGTGGCAGATTTGATCCTTCCAAAAAGTGAAGGTATTAAATAATCATTGACAAACAGTATTTGACCCAGGTAATAAAACTGTTCAACAAACCTCTACCGAAAAAAATTATTTAGTCTGGGAATAGAATTGTTCAACACTTGTGAATTTCATCCCTGTTTTGTTGTCCTTCAGTTGTCACTGTGTGTTTATTGTATTCAAATGTGATGGAGTTGCAAACTATTAAGGTGTGCCTTAAATAATGACTTTTCTTTTTCTGAACCAACCTGACTGCCTCGTGCTTTATTTCACTTGTCGTTCTGAATGACCATATTTAATTGAATAAGAATTAAGAGCAGACAGAATGGGGCAAAGGATAGCACTGGTAATAAGCTTCTTATCATTATCAATAATAGTGAAAGGATATTAAAAAGGGGAAGATTGTTAGTCATACCAGAAGGTGTTTTTTTTACCTTTAATTAAACTTGGATATGAGGTATGTACTATATGTGTGTAGATGTTGATTGCTCTCCGCTACCCAAATACAATGCTGCCCCCTAGTGTTAAGTGAATAGAATTACAGTTAGTGACCCGGCAGAGGGTGGAGAAACTTGATATGAATACCTACGGTTAACATGCAAAAATATATTCAGCCAAAAGGACAAGCATTGAATACATTTTAAATATGACTGGAGGAGAAGCAGAAAGAAAAGGCACTCCTGATCCTCAACTCCAGTGGCCACTGTTTATGGTCACATGAACTGGATCTAAGTTGGTATAGTGTTAGCACACTCTCTTTACTCTCCCTGATAGAGCATCCTCAGCACCAGAATGCGTCATATGCTTTCCTTATTCTCTCTCTCACTCACACGCATCCACAGTTCAGAGATTTGAGTCCAGCACTTTCCGAGGTCATCTAGAAGGCAGAGTCCCTTCTCTCCTTCATAGCGGGCTAAGCTGAAGCAGCACTTTTCCACATTAATGGCTGATCTGAGGGGGATTTTCAGCTGGTAAATGCTCCCCCCAATTTGTCTGATATCATTCAAGATAAAAGCAACCAATCTTGGTATATCACATAAATGTTCAAAATACTTTCTGTTATATAATTGCTGTTCACGCGCACACGAAAGTAGAATTGTTCTTATGTAAGAAAGGAAAGGACTGAATACTAACAACTACTGTACATCCTTTCCAGAAATATTTTCTCATTACAGTCAGAGATACTTTTCCATTTTCTAAGTTACAACACTAACATGCAACCAACTCACACCACTCCTGTTTAGACTAAGTTTGCTGACTCATCACTTTGTCCAAAACCTAGTCTGCACTTTACGATCGTCATTTCAGCCATTCGACGTGATTACTGTGATGTCATGAGACATTTACTCACCATTAAACGATGCATGTGGGACCTTGCAGCGGTTTTTACAGCTGGACCTCACAGTGAGGTTGAGTGTGTGTAATAAGAAACACAACGGGACTGAGTGGATGCTTTAATCAGCTTATGTTAGAGTTTTTCAGCAGGACATCCTGAATTTTGGAAACTGATTTTTTTTGGTTACTTCATTTTTTTCTCAAAACAACTTCACAATGAGAGTGTCATGAGTGTGTCCTGTTAAATTATGTTCATAGCGAGTGGTGCTCATAGCACTATGCTAAGCTTAAAATAAAAAAGAAATAAAAAAAAAACAAAGACATGATTTTGGTGATATTTAAGAGAAGAAAGCATGACTGTACAGTTTTCCTAACTTGAGCATCAAATCTTAGGTCAGAGTCAAACAGCACTCCTAGGTTATCAGCAACAGGTTTAACATATAGGCCAGGTTATTGTGGACCAATTGGATAGAGTTTGACAAGCCGAATAAAACAATCTAAGATTTACTGTCATTTAAATGAAGGAAAAGTAAAAAATGTGACTTACCTTCCTGAACTGATGGAGTTTTTATGTTTGTCAAATGGCCATACAGTAAGTTCATTGCAGTAAGTAATGTCTTTTCATTGTTTTCTTCTTTTCCATTCTATTCATCCCTACAAAAAATGACAAAACATCTATGTTTATGTAAACTTACTGTACTTTTACCCTTACGGTAAGCTGTAGCTGCTTCACAATAAAAGCCCCACAGAGAACAGCAGGAGTCTTATTGTTAAGCAGCAACAGGAAATGTTATATTTGCATTAACAAAAATATTGAGATTTGTTTGGGGTTAAAAATATATGAATTAAATCCAAATACAACTGGTAGATCTACTACAATTAAATAGACCTTCTTGGACAGGTTCTGTTTAAACTGTTTAAACTCTAGCTAAAACGAGACAATGTACAACTCTGTAGTTATTCAACAGTTATGAAAAGTTTCATAGTGGCCTGCATGTTGTTGTCAACTATAAACGAGAAATGTCGACATACGAATGAAAGTTACCTTCAAGTGGAACTCCTCTCTTGGTGTGAATCCCGTTAGCAGGTGTGTGCTAACGCTAGTGGTGCTAGCATGTTGCCATACTCTTGACACTGGCAACTTTTTCAGGACGGCTATTCACTATGCTAAAAGCAACTAGAGTGCGGTAAGTGAGGTGTTCGCTACATATGCCATGTTTGTCTTGTCAACTATCAGTGAATCACTTTCATAGTGAAGAAAACTAAACAAGACTATGGCTGGACTGTGTGTGACTGTTAGCATGGTGCGATTTGTGAAAAATGTCTCACGGGAGCAGAATGCAACAAGGCTTTGTGCTAAAATACCAATTGTATACATCAAACTGAGGGACTCAGTGATAAAGACCTGACACTAACAAGGGTCTGTTACCGTCAGCGATTGAGGTAAAGGCCCAGGTCACTATTTGAGGAAATGCGATAGTGGAACACGCCCCCCGATGACGTCATAGAAACTGTTCACTGCAAAAATGACAAAATTATTAAGCTATTAAGCTATTAAGGCTATTAAGAGGATTTATGGACGTTTACTTGCGAATGACACCAGCGATAATTGAATTCTCAGAAGGTGTATGTCCCATTGAATCTTAGAATATATTCGTCATGTGTATGTGCTCAGATTTGACTTAGTTATGACTCCAAATTGAAGCAACTGGATGCAGGCTACCTTGATCACCTCCATGAGCTGTGCTGTCACCACCACCATCACTGCTGCTGCAACACCGGGTTGGTAAGTCGGCCAAGCACCAATACCTTCCTCTTGTTTTCAGAACACCTGCATGCACCTGTCCCTCAGAGCAATTTTTCCTCATGTCTCGCCCTCCCCGCCTCCCTTAGGCCTATAGTTTGTAAACCCCTGGAATATAACCTAACTTTTTGTAGGTGAGAAAACCAACTCGCCAATCTGGCAACACTGAGCCAGTCTGGTGTCCAAGTCTGATCCTCCTTCAAATAGTGTTTCCCTCCCATTAAAATGATTCCTGATGCACCCCCTTACTGTGGATTGGGTTAGGACTTAAACTGGGTATGGTGAGCAGAGGTATCTGGTTATGGTTAGGGATAAGGTAAGGGAAAACACTATTAATTGGAAAAAAGACTTCACTTTGCCCAGAATCTTCTCCCAAGCTTTGAGATCTAACACCAACCAGCCACTGGACAGCCAAAGCACAGCTAGTATAGTGTAGTTAAGGCAAACAAACTTTATCTTCCCACGTCTGTAACAGATCTGACATGTGATGTGTCTGGCTGAATCACTCCAGTAAAAGGAGGTTAAGTGTTCAGAGTTGCTGGAACTGGTGCTGGAGTTGAAACAATGAAACCTCATTCAGTGTTGCTTAGATTACGCGTGTTATTCATTCAACGTAAACTGCCGTCACAGCCATGACTCATTGTCTAGGGAAATAAGGTGTTCATACACTGTATACACAAAGATATAGTTCCTGATAAGGTGAAAACTATACATGTGAGGAAAATATGTTGACAGACATACTGTAGTGCTTCAAGCCATTCTGGTTTATTGAAAAAACAAGTAGGCTAATGACATTTTATACAAATTATAAGTTCATTTGCCTGGATGATGTTGTGATTACATGTTGTATGCAGTTGAATTTACAAAAGCCTACATTTAAAATGAGTATGTAATTTCTTTTTCAAAATTTTATCAAAGTTAATCAGTGAAACAGGCCATTTTTGGTTATCATTTATATCAGGTGGAAAAAACTGGCCTACTTTCACATTTTTGATCAAAATGATAGTAAAGCCTTTGAGTTTCTATTAATAAAGACTATTCAAATAAACCGTTATTTTCATTCCAACCTCTGGTGCATATGTCTTGATGTGAAGTTGAATGATAATATAAAAAAAAAGAGGTCTCAGTCAGTCAGTTGCAACTCATGTTTATTCAGGAAACAAATCATACCTCCACAACACACCTTATTTTTGACCTGCCATTTCTGGGTTTTGATACAACAGTAAAAAAGAAACAACATAAAAACAATAACAAAGGTTGTCAAACTAACATAAATACAACAAACCACCATTTGTGCCTGCCTCAGAGTTTGCCACACCACTGCCAAATAAAAATGCCATCTCCTTCCCTCCCTCACCCACAGTGGGACAGCAACAAAAATAAAGGCTTCCCTTGCTGCACCGCAATCCTCTGCCTTATCAGAAAACAGCAGAGACATAAAAAAGAGCTCTAAGCCCCCCCCTCCCCCTGACACACATCAGATCCAGAGTGTTTCAGGTCGTATTCAGGCTGATGTTGAATTAGTATTGGTCAGGATTGTGTTAGGTTGGCTATGTTGGGATGACAAGGGAATGATGGTCTTTCCTCTCGTCCTAAAATGAGAGCCCAGTTTGTCAAGAATGAAAAAGTAAAGCCAGAGGTGAAGTGCTGTTATCTGAAAGCAGATTCTTGTTACTTAATCATTTCATTGCATCTGTTTTGTTTGTTTTTTTGTCATTGCCCTCATTAGCAAAGCTCTTCTTCACAAGCTATGATTGATCTACAAGGAACTGTTGAGTTTATTTGTACTTGTAAAGGTTTTTATCTTTTTTCCTCTATTGTCCTTCTCAAGATGATATCAGAATGACAGAAGCAGGCAATAAGCTAGAAGCAAATGCAAAGGACGGATTCTTACACTGTTCTTTTGTACAGCCATGATGGGGTGGAAGAAAAAAACTAAAACTGACAGAAACCTTTTGGGATAAAGAATAGTAGAACCCTTTCTAATATTTCTTTTTTCTATTCTTTCTTTCTTTTCTTTCTGTCTTCACGAATTCTTTTCTTAAGCAGATGTGTCTCTCTTCCTGTTTTTTTTTTTTAACATCAATAATTGTGTAATCAGTACATCATGGGGATGGTATTCATCAAGCACCTCAGAGGAGGAGGGCAACATGTATCACGTGACCCATGTGAATGTGGTCCCTGCAGCTCCATGTCCAACAGCACTCCTGCTCTAAGATGTGATAAACACGTTTTACTTGGTCCAGTAAACCCGAACTGGCTGCAACAACATCATTCACAAAGCTACATTACATCTACTGTATATACAATGCCACCTAGAGCTAAACAACTGCATGGTAATACATGGCTAATGTGGGATCTAGTGTTATGTTTTGCTGACTATGGAGAAAGCAGGCTACTGAAAAGAGGGTGACATTGAAAGCCAAACAGGATGAAAGAACCATAGCATCATTCTGAGAAAAGCAGTATCCATTTTCCTTTGAGGGCACAGTTTGTTCTCTTCCCCTGTTGAATGTGATGGCATGCAGTTTTACTGGTGTATTTTACAATTACCAAAGCACCAAGTGGGCATGTTTTCACTGCCGGTGTCGTATATTCTGTACTGAGAAGAAAGTGAGGCTAAGACGGGTTATGTGTAATGTGCTTTGGCAACATTATCCTTTAGAAGCATTTCCTGATACTCCACACTGGTCCAAATTTCCCAGGAAAAGGGATACTTTTCTCATCTGAGCAAGGTAGCATTGTGACAGGTAAGGCATGAGGATTCAGTGTTTTGCTCTTTTAACTTTTAACTAATCGTGGTCCTCTGCATCTCCTCCTCCTCCTCCTCCCTCCCTCCCTCCCCTCCCTCCCTCCCGCAATCCTGCACTCTGGCCGCTGCCGTTTTCTGGATGCGTCCCCTCCTTCCCGTGCTGTTTAACTGAGGGATGTGATGTTGGAACGACCACCAGGGGGCACTACAATACGCCGGCCAGCAGGCCTGATAGGGATGTCATCTGGGGTGGGGGGACCTGGACAGAGAGAAAAGGAAAGAAAGATAAGTGAGTTACAAGGAAAAAGAGCATTTAAGTTAGTTGGAAGAAGGATAAACTCATGCCGATCTGCAAAGAAATGACCACAAAGAAAAAACAGTAAATTTCAAGTAAATGCTACGAATCAGATTTCTAAGAATTCTTTGTCTTCGCAGATTACGGAATGACACAAAATGTCCCAAATTTAGATGTGTAACGTGGGTTAGCATTTACTTATTTTAAAAGCAGCTCTTGAAACTTAAATGATGCTTACTTGCTATAGAAAATGAGAATCTGACGCCACAAAGTGATTTAACAAATAATGAAGGGGGGGACCTGTGGGACTACACCGGTGCCGATGATGAGATTTACTGCTTTTTGCGCTCCTCTGGAAGATAGCACTGGTATCATCTGTCAGTTTTTTCAGACTTAATTTACACAGAATAACTTTTATGACGTCATAGCACACAAAAAATTGCTGTCATACACTCGCATTATTACTTTCCATCCACTAGGGGGTTTTTCAAGACACATAATTATTATTATTGTCTGTGATAGATGGTACATGTCACTGAGATGAGAAAGGAATGCAAATTTCAACAGCGCCATATTCTGTATGAGTGCTGCTGAAACATTAACAAAAGAAGCTACGGTCTTGACATAAAGCAGTGCGTTTCCAAAGGATGAGCCAGGGCGTCTGCTGCAAGAAATTATCAGCGAGTGTATAAATGGAAAGTGGAATGATGTCAGACTATGATACACTGCATCTAAGCAAACAATCCTTCACATCTCCTCTCCAGACAAGTAAATCAACTCTGCAGGTGGTGACCCTGGAAAAACTAAAATAGATAGGAGACTGACTCATTCTGAGAGTGCGCGCAAAATATACACACACACACACACACACATACAAGAATACGCACATACTTAAGCGCCCAACTATTACAAGGCCTGGGAAACCGGGACGCCCCGTACGACCCCCCCCCCCTTTACAGTAAATTCATGTAGTCAAATGTAGAAATTCTTTCCAGCGGAGGTCACCTTCTTTTTTCATCGATGAGGTATCACACATAAGCCACGCTTGTAAAAACAGGTTGCTCAATACAGCCAAAGGCTAAACATCTTTCTGTAAACTGTTCTTTCAAAAATGAGTTATCAGCTATTAAAAATAGTTTGTGTATTCACAAAGACTGCCAGCACCATGGTGGATACAGCTGTAGTTTCTCCAGGTTAAACAAGGTTATTCTCATTGATTTGAAGTTACACATGGACACATTTAGTCTGTCAAGGGAGGACAGGATGACTGACTAATAGCTACTGTTGCTCTGTTTGATTAAAAAAAAAACACGGAAACACTGACTATCTGGTTCGTGATTTTACCATGTGTACGTAGTTTCACTGGTAGCTGGATGAAAACAATTTCTCACATTTGTTTTCTAAATCTAAGGTAATCCTGCGCTGACCTTACATATGGGCACAATCAGACTGTCACTCAGCAGTCCTGCATAATGGAACAGATGTCCAATGTGAATACATCGTGCCGTGATCTCTCACATTAGATAGGCTTTCTTAATTGACCGTGTCTAAATGCCGGGAGTGAAATATCGTACGCCGTACATTTCAGGCCTCGTGCCAACACTCGTAACCAGTGGGACTTGCAGTACGTGCAACTGTGGAGAAAAACTAGGAGGCTGCGGTTGGAGGTCTCAGAGTCCTAAAGAGCCCTCAAAATTACCTTGTTTGAGAGGTGTGAGATACTTTAGGAGAGTGATTCAGCGGGAGAAACAGGGTTTAAGATGCATTCTTTGGAGATGAGTCATTAAAAACAATGACTGATTTGATTTAGAAAGACTAAAGTAGTGCAAGATACATCTGTGTGCATGCTGGAAATAAAATATAAAAATCTGAATACAAGTATCCTAAAATACATGCAGGAATGCAGGATAATAGAAACCATCATTTGCTTAGTTCAATGTGCACAATACAGAAATACACAAAAGTACTGGGCTCCTATATAGTATGCTAAGTCATCTAAATAAATGTAAAATACTAGTTTACATCATAGATGAGTGTGGGTCAAAAGTACAGTCCGTGTGGTTTTAATTTGGGGTAGAGCTGACTTCTTGTCAAACTAAAACAACACTAAAACAAAAACAGAAACAAAAAACAGCCAACTTTAACTGCCTGTACATAAATTTAACTAAATACATTGTGGCTCATTAAAAGTCAAGGAAGCTATGGCAGCCAAGTTAATGACATGCATAAACAGACAAATTGTCATATAAACACTGTATAACCACTTTCACAAAGCGGTGTGATATACTGCAGACAAATACATGCCATACTGTGCACGTCAGCATAACATCTGAAACAGGATTAACGAGAAATTATTAGGTTTCTCTACAGGCTCGAGGCTCATCGCCAAGGACTCTGAATGCATCATTCATGCACAGCAACAACATGCTAAAAAAAAAAAAAACCATGACTTGTTGTACTTCACAGCATGAAGTAGTTGAGATAAAAGGGTGTGTCATGGTGGATCTACTGATGCACATGCATGCTCCTTTGATGTTCCTACATACAGTAAAAATCAATGCAGACCAATAACAGATGAGGAAGGACCGGCTGATTGTATTAAAAAGCTGGGCTCACCGCATGGTGCAGGGTTACCTGCTAGACTAAATCCAGACTGGTGCAGGTTTCTGACGGGCTGTTTGGTGGGAGAGGTACGTGCCGAAGCAGAGGGGGTACCACCACGAGACATGGAGAATTCAGACACCGGGCCGTCGTACATTCCCCTGGGCACTGCCCTCAGGACTGCCAGCTGAAGGGCAAATAAAGATAACAAAGATGGAGGTGTTTAGGGAGAAATAAAGAAGCATAATAAGATGCAGAAGAAGAAAGAATGAGTAAGGACAGAGAGAGACATCATGGTGTTTGGTATAACAAAAGAGTCCACACCTGTTTAGCATTATATGGTTGTTTGTGTAACTGTTTGTGTCTGTATTATGTATGCATTTTTCAGAGAGCCTTTTTCCTGCTGCAGAACCAGTTCCAGATTTACACAACCACACACACAAATACAAACTTAAACACACACATACACAAGTAAGCAAAGTCTTTTACAGACTGGAGCAGAAAAAAACACAACATACAGTATTAGTATGTTTTAAATCAAGTTGAAACTTTATGTTGTTAGTGAGCATGTCCTCGCTGTCTGTCTGTCTGTGGCATGACTCAGTGGAATCTTGGAAACTCTGTCAAGAGTTAAAAAGAGACATCTGTGAAAGAAGGAAGCCTAACCGTGAGTGCGACCAAGATAAACAACACACTGTTACTACAGCTCCATTTTCTCATCAGCAGCCAGCTGCAGATTAGGAAATTGTTGAACAATGACGTTTCTAGAGCTGTAAGAAAGATGGCACGGGAGCAGAAATCAGGGTCTGCTGTCACTTTACACTGCTATAAATGAAATGGTTAAACGGGGTCACTTATATTTCTAATGAATCCTTAATCCTCTAGAGGAGCTACATGTCTCTTTTAATTTCTTTCTTTCTGACAAGGTAAAGCACTCTGGGTTTTACCACATTTGTGGTATACAGGAATATTATTTTAATCCTTGAAGTCTGCTGCTAGGTTTGGTAGGTGTAACGTCACGCTTCGCCCTTACAATGTTATTTGTCGTTGCATATGCTCACCAGTTTGTTTCCAGTTTATTTAAGATAGTCCGACATTTTGGAAAGTAGATTTAGCCTCTTACTTTCCAAGAGTGACATGAGAAGATCGATAAGCCTCTTATGACTTTACGCTAAATAAGCCTCAGCCAGCAGCCAGTTTAGCTTAGCATAAAGACTCTAGCTTCTTGTCTTCACTGTGTTGTTACAGAGCAAATGGCAGACACCAGTTCTTACACTTTGGGTTTTGTACAGATTAAACAAACTAAACAAAGTAGACTGTGTTTATTAGAGACCTTTAGAGTTGCTGGTAGATGGATTTTGTTACTTTTGGACAGAGCAATGGCTAGTTGTTTCCAGTCTTTATGCTCAGTTGAGCTAACCAGCTTCTGGCAGTAGCTTTATGTTTAGGCAATCTAGTAAGAATGCAAATAGGGGTGAACCCAAAAATGTTCAAACTAAAGTAGCTGTGTAATATGTGGCTTTCGATTTTAAACTGTAAGTACAGTCTAAACGTTAATTCTCCTGACTGATCTGTGACATTTCTGTCTCAGGAAAGACTATTAGGCCCTCAGCTACCTTGTGGCCTTTCCTGTAATAAGGGCAACATGGCTACATAACTTTTAGTCTTGCAAAACCAGAGTAAATTTTAAATATGGGACTCATTTTAACTCTACACTTTGGTAACTCTTTAACTGTGTGTGGTAGGTTTCTTTGGAAAGCTATCCAAATCCAAACTCACTGTGTGCTTTTTAAAACCATGATGAAACAAAGCCACGACCACCCTCACTGCATGGACCTCAGCCTCCAAGGTTCAGCCGTCTCCCTGTGGCTGAGCTCAGATTGCTCTATCTCCCCCTCATCCCACTTCACTGCCTCCATCTCTCCCACCCACAGTCCTCTCCATCACTATAACTTCTATCTCAGCCCAAACTCCCACTTACTCACTTACAGGCCAAGAGACCTTAACTCTTACCTCCCAATTTCTCCTATTTCCTCCAAATCGTCTCATGCTTTGTGTGTGTCAATGGGTAAGTTTGATTATCAAAAGCAACAGTTATTCTTTCTGATATGATTTTATTATTGTAGTTTTCATTTAGGCACCATCGTTGGTGCTTAGCAGGCACCGTTGTGGTGTTATTGGCACTGTGCTTACCAGAGCTCACTTGCAATTCAACAGTGTGGTGAGTACTATGATGGCTCAACCTTCTCAAGTTTCTGTGTGGATTATTTTTGTCTTTATATGTTCAGCTGAAGGTTGTACAGGTCTCCTAAAACAGAATTTGCCTTTCAAAATGGACATATCATTCAAAGATATGACATCTGCCTCAACGAGATTATTGTTGTATAAAGCGTACATAGTGGGCCGGACAGTAGTAAAAACCTGTATTTACCTGCTTCCTGGCTTTAACTCGCTTGTAGGCAAAGTCAGGGAAGGGAGAGCAGGGAATGAAGCGGCCCACACCGGAGGTGACATGCAGGTTCCCGTCCTCCAGAACAATCTTCCCCTGGCAAATCACCACGAGTGGGGCTCCACGCAGCTCCATGCCCTCAAAGACATTGTACTCAGCAGCCTGCAGCGCAGATATAAAATTATTAGACACCTGTGAAGAAATCAGGATGTTCCAGCAGAATGTGGCAAAAGGGGGGAAATATGTGACTAAGTAGATATGAACAAAAGCTATGAGTAAATACGTTAATCACACAGCAGGAGCTAAAATGACTAGTTATAAATTATGCTAAATATATACAGAACGTATAAATGTACAGTTATAAAAGAATATGACAATTTGACTGTGGAAAATAAAGTCACTGTTCAAAAAAAATCATGACATGAAAGAAAAGGGATCAAATTAGATTTATGAATAGTAAGCACAAAAGATACACGTTTATTAAGGCAACACTGATGAAAAAGTTTAAACATAAAATTCCACTGAGTTTAAGAATTAACAGAGTGGAGTTTTCAATTAATCTGTTGTGTTGTTTTGTGATAAAATGCTCCGATTTGGATCATAGTTTGAAAGTAAATTAAATTAAATTAAATTAAATGTCATTTGTTAACTCAAATTTGAGCCAAAGAAATGCAACAAAAGAAAACCTTGTTAACCTCCCTGATGAAATAAGGGATGGAGGAGATGAAGAAGACAACAACAGTGGGGGGGGGCTGTGGGAGGCATGCACTCTGTTTCTCCTCCATTCTCTCTCTCTCTTCATTCTCTACCATTCATCACCTTGTTTCTTACACTCGTTAGTTTGGCATGTACAAACACCTGCCGTGATTGAGCTGCTGTCTGATGCCGCCGTAGCACCTCTCGCTCTCTTTCCCTCGTTTCTCTCGCACTCTCTTCACTCTGCTCTTTCCAGTTGTCCGTCTCCTTCACTCACTTATCCCCCTTTCTGCCTGCTTTCCATCCTCTGTCTTTCTTTCCCTCACCCATTCTTGCTTGATTTATGTAATCCCTTGCATTTTTTCAACCTCGCGCACTATTCATCCTCTTCCAATTTCCCCTCTGCCAACTTTCTTTTCTCGACATGTTTGTGATCTCTGATGGTCCCCTCCCCTCATTCCATTGTTGCTTACTTCCTCTGCACACGGCCCTGTTTTCTGCTGCCGTCCAAATTCAGGCCAGAACAGGACATAACTAAGACTTACTGTAAGCCAAACATGATGTCATGACTAAGCTGAGTGAGTCTAAGAAAGTGTGTGTGTGTGTGTGTGTGTGTTTCTGCCTGGTGTGTCAGAATGCCTATTGTGCATATATGCATTTTTAAGTTGACAAAAACAAGTAATGCAGACCAGATGTGGGTGAACTGATAACAAACTAAGACACAGCACAGTCTAAGTTATATTTACTGTACAGGGGAAGGCATTCCCCAACACAGTGTCCTGGTAAACAGGACCGCTCCTGTTTGGCCTAGCGTCAGACTGTCCATTAATGTAGATTTAAAGGAGCTGGGAGCTGCCCTTCTCCAGTCTTCTGCTCTCTTGTGTTATTTTATCTGGAGGGACGAGCAGCAGGAAATGAAAGGGTGACATCATTATGTAAGAACCCGAGGATCCTCAGTGGATGTACTCCACATTTGGAGAAGGCATATTATTAGTCCTTTCCGTTCCTCCCATCTGGAGACAGAGCAATGTACTTTCTCCCCTACTAAACAACCACCAGCAGGCCTTTAAGAGAGGAAAAATTCAAATGTACAAGCTTCACTTAATCATTCCTAAGGCCTACCTACAAACATTGTATGTAAACGCACTCTTCTGTCACTCATGTTTTTCTGTGGAGGCAGGATCTGTGCTCGGCTGGTAAAACCTTAATTTCCTGCGCGTGCACTTCCTCTGCTGTCGAGCGGGCCTGCTTGGGATCCTCTAATGTCTGTGTAATGGTAGAGACCTCATTACTCACATGTGTCAGTTGTACAAACAGTGTGTATGTAAGATGTTTGCGCGGGTGTGAGTAAGGGAGAATATGTTCGTGTGTGTGTCTTTATGAGGCCTTTGACAAAAAAAAAAAATAATCCAGGTTCAAGTGTTTCTAAATGTAGTTTCGCTTTCTTCTTTTAAATATATAGTTAATATGTAACTGACAAAATTCCCTCAGTTTCAAAGTGTCATTAAGTTTACGCATTGCTCTATCTTTTGAGATTTGAGTCTTACGTACTGGTTTTATAAGGAAAAGGAAAAATGTGATTTCTATGAGTAACTTCATAAGCTGGTGTTTTGTTGCAACTAAGTGATCAACATGTTTGTAACACAGACCACACAGACCTCGGGAAAAAACGTAACACGGCATCTTACGTTCACTATGATGCACTTTGTAAAAGGAGCGGTGCAACAGCTGCCAACAGCTTGTCCATGACTAATGTTGTCAAATTGCAGCCAGGTCAATTTTCCTATCATTAATAAATAAAAATTAGTCTTCCACTTGCGATTCATGGTCGGCACCTAAAACCCCTCGGCCGCAAGGCTAAACTCAATTTGCAACAAAATCTTAGTGAAAAAAAAAAAGCAAAGCAGATTCCAAAGAAGGGAGGTGGAATAAATGGTGGTTACGCTACACTACCAATTCTGATTCAGATTGCCTTGAGAGAATTTCCCATGAAATAAAATGTCTTCTGAGCTGCTCTCTACTAATGGGATGAGTAGTTTGTCCAACCAGCAGTGTGTACAGATGTTTCAAATCTCCGGGGCTTGTGCAAGAATTTGAAGTATTGGTATTTACTGTAACACAATCCTGAATGACATTCTTGAAAACCATTATAGTTGTGGGAATATATTGCAAGATCCGTACAAATGAATGTGATGTAGAGGAAGCTCTTGATTAAACAGCACACAGATTCCCTGTTGATTTGTACAGGGTGTTGTAGAAAATGTTTCTATCACTGACAGAATGTTGTTGTTTTTTTCTGTTGTTGTATTTGGATAAATCAGTGTATTTCAGTAATCCATTTTTTTTTTCCAATCACTACTTCTATCATCATTGCTGAGGGTTTTTGGATTTAGTGAGGCTCAACTTTACATTGAGAGCTGGCCATGTGATCAGTGCAGTGTGAGTCGCATTAGTAGTGAACATCCACTGAGACTTCATTTCCGTTCAGAGGAACCGAGAGCTCTCTGGAAGCTGCTCATAAATGTTCCCTCTCTCTCTCTCTCTCTCTCTCTCCTTCTCTCTCTCTCTGTCTGTCTGTCTCTCTCCCTCTCTCTCTCTCTCTCTCTCTCGCTCTCTCTCTCTCTCTCTTACACAGATGTAGAAAAGTTATCTCTTCCAACTCTTATATTTAGTCAATAACATTTCATCTGCACAAAATGCTTGTGTCACCCAAGAGGAGGGAGAAAGAAGAACTGATTAAAAAAAAAAAGAAAAGAAAAAAAGTCCGGAGCTGGATTTGACTGAAAATCTAAGCTGTGTTCACTGCACATACCGAGTTGTGTGTCTTGGCAGTGATGGTGCGGATGGAGTCCGTGTCCCAGATGACCAGGTCAGCGTCAGAGCCCACGGCGATCCGACCCTTGCGAGGGTACAGGTTCAGGATCTTGGCTGCGTTGGTGCTGGTCACTGCAACAAACATGTTCTCATCCATCTTACCTGTAGTCTAGGAGGGGGGAAACAGGGAATAGTGATTGAAAACTGGATAAATGGCACATGGAAATTCATTTTGCTTCTACATACAGATGGATTACCTATATACCTATATACATTTTTTTCTTACTCCTGTTCATACAAAGAGCAAGATTTTAAAAGAATAGTTCAAAATTTTGGGAGAAACACTTATTTGCCTTCTTGCTGAGAGTTAAGGGTATAATTCTCATGTCTGCGTGTTACGTATGAAGCTGCTGTCAGGAGACAGTTAGCTTAGCTTAGCATAAAGACTGGAGATAAAGGGGAAATGGCTACCCAGGCTGTGGAACATCATTAAAAAAACAAAGCTTACAAGCATGTGAAAGGCTGCACTCAGTCCAAGTTTGGTGTGAGCTATGCCGTGAGGAAATGGATTTAGTTTAACTTTTTAAAAGCCCATCCGCATTTTGCAGGCAGCACGGCACTCCACAGCTGTCTAAAAGCTACATGCTCTTTGTCTGTCAGCAGAACACTGATGCAGTGATAACAAGAGACAAGGAGGGAAAAAAGAGGGTAGTGTGCTGTATCAAAGGGTGAAGGAAAGGACAGCTGTGGAGATACAAAAGCAAATGATAAAGCAAGACAGAGACAGTGACAACAAGACTGAAATAAAGCCAGAGAGAGGAGGGAGGAAGGGAGGAAGGGAGGAAGGGAGGGAGGAAGGGAGGGAGGGAGAGTAATAGCTGACAAGAGCTATGTGAAATAATAGTGAAAGCCTGATAAAAGCAGAAAGACAGAACAAGAACATCTTTATAAAAAACGCAGAGATGAGAAAGATGTGGATTTTACTGCAGAGCAGCAACAGCTCAAACTGAGAATCAAAGAATAGAGGTTGCAGATGACAGTTTAGAGCAAAGCTAAGGCATACAAAATGATGATTTTCCTTGGGGAAAAGGGTGGAGAATGAATCAAGGTAAAAGAAAAAAGTCTAGAATACGTCTTCAAGTTGTTTGTTTTACTTTTTTTTGTCCTTCTCCTTCCAAAGTTTAAAAAAACTTGGAGAAAGAAAACGCCTAACTGGTCCTCACCACAGCTTTATCCCAGATGAGGGCCATTCGCTCCTCCACTCCGTTCACACCCTCTGGGATCTGAGTGAAGTCATCCTTGCCAATGGCCTTCTGGGCCACGCTGAAGGTACAGTGAGCACTGCCAGTCACACTCAGGTCTCCACTGGGAGACGAGGAAAAAACACACAAAAATACAGAGTTAAGATGAAATTACGCCAGCGCATCGCAATCTGTGTAGACTGTAAAGCTCTGCCATCACGAGGAAAGATTGTTGTGCCTCTCTTACTTGAGCCGGAGAGGCACAACAACACCGAGCAAGGACTGGGAGTAATTGCCAGAGTTTGTTCTTCCAGCACAAACCGTTACGAATGTTTCCTGTTTCCCTGTAACGCTGTAACTCACTTACCGGTCCAGTAACAACTGCTGATTTACCAAAATTTTTGATAAGAGTTTTTTTTTTTTTTTCACATGTATACAGACAACAGAACATGTAAACACATAAACATATAAACCGTGACAAAGTCAAAAATGAGCTCACTTATGGTAGATTTATTATAAGCTACAACTCTATCCACTATCGGGAGTTTATTTCTGACTCTCTTCATCTGGCCTGGATGAAGGAGAGGTTGCGCGGAGAGTAATGCCAATTAGCACTGTAATGAAATTAGTCAGGGTTTATCGTTTATCGTATGTTAACCATGGAGCTAATTGCTAATCCAGTTATTCTCATTTGTCTGTAGAAGTTGCAGAAACGTTTCAGTTAGTGCACATGCAAACTGAATGTTCACTCACAAGCAGTGTGTGGTTTGGATGGGAATGTATGTATATCCTCCTTTGCCTTTTGTTATGTTATATATGATACAACAATGATACATTACATACATACATCATGTTAAATACTTAGAAAATAGCTTCCATCCTGTCTCAACCAAGCACACGATGAACAACATTGCCACAGTTGTGATATGTACCTTGACAGCAGTGTGTTCAGATAGTCTGGAGTGGTGGGATCAGGGCTAAGAGGGGGTGATGTTACAAAAGACGCCGCCTTGGCCCAGTTCTTGCTCCAGTAATGCGTCCCATCAGTCCCCAGGCTGGCTGTGATTGGCTCCCCAAACACAACATTTCCTGGGAAAGAAATAGTGGTAAAACTTTGTTAAAGTATCAAATGTGAAGTGTATAAAACTGATTTATGTTAGTGATTCTTGGCATTTTCTGAATAGAGAAAATGAATCAGTCAAGACTGAATAATTTGTCAGCAGTTTAATCTCACTAAAAGCTTTGGTAATTCATCTGAGTGTTTGCAGGAGAGGAACCATGCCTAATCTCTGAAAAGCCAAACACCACCCTTGGCAATGTACAAATTTCACTTTGGCTCAATCGCAGCTGAGTCTGTACTTTCATGCATGATGAGCCAGGGTTTGATTCCTGTCACTAACACTCCTCTGTTAGGTCCCTCGCTCTGACACCTCACTGTTCCATGTCCTCCCCGGTTTACATGAATAGATCCAAACAAAAGGTGTCAAGCCCCTAAAGGCCCCTAATGTTTGGAGATGATGGATGCATGAAGAGGTCAGGTCTGAGGTCAGCACTAAAAACCTTTTCTTGGTTCATTCTCAAAAATTGTATATTTTGGGAATCCATTACAGCCAGGGAGGCAGCTTGGTTCACTCCTGCTGTTCTACTGTGAGGAACGGTCTGTGTGACAGCTGAACCACAGAAAAGACTGCTGAAGATAATAAAATAGCATCTTTTCTTCGTTCTGTCGAGCAGGGTCAAAGTCTGTGTACATCTGCAACCTCAAAGAGAAAAAACAGGCAGCTAAGTAATACTATCTAAAATTCATATCCGATGTAGTTTCTTGTTTGTTTGATCTGATTTGTACCAAGATTTCCCCAAAAAATTAAGCCAAATGAGAAATACATGTAAAAGCTGTTAACAATATTATAAAATAGAATCAAGCTCATGTTTTGTCTTATTTTAATGAGCAATGTGTGTGTTGAAGACTTTTTGGAGATCATGCAAAGATAGCCTTTATGCTGCTACAACTGTACTCTGATACACAATGTACTAAAGCACTGCAATCTCCACAGAAATAAAGTGTGTGACGCTCGAGAGATGGAACTCAATCTTTTCTATCATGGTTCCTGTGAGTCCATTTTCTTTTTTTTCCTCATTGTAAACTCTGCTGTCGGTGAAGCCGTTATTCACATGGTGGGAGAGAAATTACTTTTTTTTTTTTTTAAATGTAAATATCATGTAAAATATGTGTCAAGTACTTGTTGCAGCAGTGGGGGAGTGAAGTCTAAATGCCGCTCTTTTACCTTTTTTCCGGGCCTGTGAGATGATGTCAGCAGCACTCTTGCTCATGACCCGAGTCACATAGAGAGGACAGTTGGTTTGGCTGGCGATGGTGATGGCACGAAACACCGCCTCTGCCTCCAGCTACAGAAGGGACAGGACATTGTGGTTGACTTGGAAATGTTTTTCCCATTAAGAGTTTTTTTTTCTCAAATAAACTTAAAATATCTTAACCACAGCAAATTATGTATTTTTGGAGCCATATTATTTGAATTATTCATTTTTAACCAAAATGACAAGTGAAAGCTTATAATTTTAACATTCACTGGTGAGGTTAGGGATTTATTCAGTTACACACAGTTAGGACAGTTAGGACAAACAGACAAAAAGCACTGTAGTCCGTAATATGAATTAAAAACAAACACCTCTGGACACATTTTGGAGACACGTGTCTTCGCTGGAAAGCACCTGGCAGTTTACTGTGATTATTAAATTGTCAAGTGAGCAAGAACAACAAACAACTTTCTGTAAGAAATTGTACAGAAGTTGCCAGTAGAAAGTCAAGCATGCCTCCAGATGTGGCGACTGTCAAGCCTACATGTGTTTTGTAGCTTGCAAGGTGACGCAAACTATGTTGATTATTGTGCTCCAGTCCACAAGCTCAGCCTGGGTCCAATAACCAATAAATTAAAACCAAACAGGACACCAGGCACAGATAGAGCACTCATCCAACTTGGCCTCTGCTCAATTGAATTATGTTTCCAAGCTTTTGATTCCTAAGACTCCACTTAACTGCATGACACTGTGAGACTGGTGGGACGACCTCACTCCGCTGCACCACAGAGTGGAAAATCCCAGTCAAGCTAAAGGCAAGACAAGTTGCTGAGTTGAGAGCATGGCTTTCATTTCGCTGTTTGTCGAAGAAACATTAGCAGGAACAATTGGGGGAACGGGAGAGTTTTCACCCAACGCCTCTAATGCGTCTGAAACCACATGTTGCACAAACCAGAAAAATGTGCGCATGAAAGAAACGTCTCAGAACGTCATCGTGGACGGCGTGAGTGTGTGAGTGTGTGTGAGTTTGTGCCTGGCTGTGCTTGGACTGCAATAGGCTGTTTTTTTTATTTTTTTTATTTGAACTTTACTTAATCAAGAAGATCTCTTGAGATTGAAATCATTTTTGACTGACTCCTAGCCAAAAGGAAGCACATTTAATGTTTACATTATATAAAACAGCTAACATCGAAAAAACCACAGGCATTAAAACACATCAAAACACACAATATTACAATAAAAACTAAGTCTACTGTATGTATTAAAACAAATATACTCAGCTTTTTCAGTCTTTAAAACGTTCAAGACTAAATGCTTAACATAATTACTGTATAGGTGTGTGTACAGTGTGTGTGTTGTACCTCTTCTGGCCTGCTCAGCACGTGTCCCTCTGGTCCAGTGATACCCATCTGCAGCATGCGGGCCTGCTCCTGTTGCACAAACGCACAGAAAGTCGTCTGTTAGCTGCTCAGCTCACGGATGCATTTCAGGACTGTTTTTGTCGGTGTTCAGTGGTGTGAATGCTCGGGCTGATGTAAAGTTTTGGTAACGCTCCAAAATGATATTCAGGTTTTCTGCTTTTTTTTTCTGCTTGTGTGACCAGCAGTTTTACCAGTTTTATCATATATATATCATATATATATTATTATCAACCTGGGTTTTATTCTCATAATGTGACCAGTTTGACTTTGGGTCACGCTCTCTTTGCATTTACCACCTCTGTTGTGGAGATATGGGAAAAATGGATAAAACTACGCATATCAGGCCAAGCAGATCGCTTATCTCTGAGTCTGAATTAGCACAAAAAATTTGCTCCCTGGATTAGCTATTGTAGCTAACTTCATAGATGTCTACTCCTGACCTGAAATGGCTGTTCATTCATGTGCACATGCTGTTTTTTGGTTATACATGTGAGGCTGTAGGTCACTGTCAGTTTACCACATCTGTGCTACATAGGGAGGTAGTAGAAAACAAGAGAAGGCTTTGCTTCAATTTTTAAGAAATTTAAGAAAACCTAGAGAAATGGTTGGTTATCCAGTGGCTAACCATATTTACTCCAATCAGAGTGCATACACAAGAAGATGGATGATATGGGTGATGGAGAGTGGAAGCAGAGGCAGAGAGGCAGCTAGAGGACCGTCCCACAAGACGACACGTAAGTCAAGGAACCGGCAGTGTTCCTGCGGTCACTGCACTCCAAAGCCGCCCGGGGAGGAAAAAACTTTCACTGCTCGGAGTGGGACCCGCTGATGACAGACTTGGAAAATCTAGACGCGTCTACAGATGAGAGTGATCCCAGCTGTGTTACTACAAGAAACGAATTTGAAGCTGCGATCAACATTGATGTGCTGAAAATTTGTTCCACCTCCTCAAAATCAACCGGAAGAGCCCCGAATGGACAGAACAGTCAGCTCTTCATGTGGTAAGCAACAGCAACTACAACTGTTAAGACAGTAATCAAGCCTTTCAGGACGTTTTTGTACTACCGAAATGAATCATGCAGTACAAGAAACTATTAGTACTGAAGATTAACAGGTAGCTTTTTTGTTTAGCCAGCACGCTTTTGCAGAAGTAGCCACCTGTGCAGGTAGCTACCAACCACAGGCATGATGTCTGCTGACTTTTAATGTGGACTCCAAGTGTTTATTTGGAAAGCTTTAGAAGCTCATGCTACTGTCTCTGCATTAACCAAATCTCCACAGTGGAAGGTGTACATTAAAAAGTTAGCATGAACCAGGCTGGAGTTTTCTTGAAGGGGACAAATATTTTTCAAAAACCAAGATTTTCATGAATGAGAACTTTTAAGGAAATTTGAACTGGATTTTGTATATATGCAGGGAAAGTTGAAGTCATCGTTTTCCTCAAGGAAAGCAGCTAGCGGCCATAAAAGGAATTATAGCTTTAGGCACTTAGACAGTGGTTTCAGCACTTATCCCTCGTGGTAGCCACTTGTTAGAATTAAGAGCGGTCGTGTGCACATCCGCTACACCTCAGTGGGATAGGTGCTGGATACAGAAAAATCTTTATCCTACATTCACAGCTCCCTTAAACTAGTATGTGGGTACTCTTTGTATTCGCTATCACTTCATATCACACAACATGCCCTCTGTACCAACACAGGTCTAAACATGGCCTCTCTGTCTCAGGAGCTCTGCAGTAAAAGTCAGGTTGTGACATAATATGGGGGTTTAGACATTTTTGATCTTAAAGCTGATGGAAATCAGACTCTCTCTCAAAGTCCTAGTTTAAGGCTGGATATGCGAGCTGGGATTTGCGATGAATCAGATCCAACACACACACACACACACACACACACACACACACACACACAGTGATAGAATCCAGGCATGGTCTGGAGCTCTGACTAATACGAACCCTCTCAATCCACCAACTATTACAGTTCATTCACTTTCATTTGTCCGCAGTACGGCACAGCCCTGCGTAAACTACACCCACACATTACTGTCCTACATGAAACACATTGTCTGTCTCATCAGCGACTTTGTGTTTAGTCTGTAGGTGGTGAGATGTGCCGTGATAAGGCTCGACCAGACAGGTGAACTGAAGTGAACTTAGCTGAAATAAATCACATTAAACTAAAACAGATGACAGATTTGGACCCGAGTCAAGTAATTACAAGAGAGTGTGTAAAGAAAATGAGGCGGGGGAGAAAGGAGGAGGAAAAAGAAGGAAAAATGTTTACGAGGGGTGTCTGTAAGTTTATCCATGTTACCTCAGCAATGATCTCGCCATTCTCAGCGTGGACCTGAGCGATGCCTCCCCTCTCTGCCAAGAAGGTAAAGACCTCATAGAGCTGGAGAGGAAAACACATAGACACAGTGAAATTACAGTGGCACTGCTCTTATATTTAAAAATCCATGCCTAACTGTTTACACAAGAATCAGACACTCCTTTTTAAACCCCGGGGGTCACCCTTGAGCCACAATTTAAAAATGAAGCCCCGCAATTTACGTGACGTCTACCCGCGACAAGCTGCAATTATCGTGTGTGGTCTCCAGAAATGGTTAAACTCATGTGGGGCGGAGCTGCAAGTTGTTGCTATGTTGCTGTGCCGCAGTTCCTTAGCAAACTGCATGACATCAGTTTTTCAAGCTGGACTATTTCAGTTGCCTCATGCGCTCCTCTGACCAACCGAATTAGCCACAGCTGCTTGAGAAACACGGAGGGGCCCGCCTCGCACCGTCTGGGCTCACACTCTGTAGCAGCAACAGTAACAACATGAACTCACACTATACGTCGCAGGCTACAAGTTACATAAGGACAGGGTATTTCAAGGGAGAAAAAAAAAGAAGAAAAAGATTAATGCTTAGTTGGGTCTATATTCCAACTGCAGGTCATAATTTACTCACTTTTTTTAGACACTGCATCACCACTTAGAGCCAAACCATTTCCATGTTTTGATGCTTTTGCAACCATCCAGTCTCATAGCAAGTCAGCGACGATAGATTATCTGATTATGTTAATGGATTGGTTGAATAAAATAATGATATTTGAATTTTCGTACTAAGTGAAGCCAAGATATTACACAACTATAGTCACAGCCACACATACTGCACCACACATGTATTGATCGTGCGTGTTTACACCCAAAGTGTTAAAAATGTGCACCAGATTTCAGTTTGTGTACCTCACTGTTGCTCATCTGGTAGTAGTCCTTGTAAGCCATGTAGACCTGGAACGAGCTCACGCCTGTTAAAAAAGAAAAAAAAAAAAAAAACAGGGAAACAACACAATGAAGAAAATGGGAGAAATAGTTCTTAAAAAGGCCAAAGGTTAATGTGTCACAGTACCACAGTTGAACTATATTCAAGTTTATATAGACTTTTTACTTATTGTAACCTGTGTCTGGAAGCGTAGTTGTTGGAAATGTTGGAAATCAACAAAAAAAAACTGGGGAGTTTACATCTTTAATGTACTACAAAACCAAATGGCTTTTAGAAAAAAAAAAACACATTTAACTGCTTTTTAAAAAAAATGTAATGTCAATTGAGAAAAAAACGAACACGATCAGGTCCTACGTCACAGCCTACCTTTGTCCTTAATGAGGTTATCCAACTCCTGCTTTACGCTGTCATTCCAGTGGGTGATGTCCATATGGAGGGAGTAGTCGCAGCAGGCCTTCTCATCTGCCCACTGCCTCCACTGGTCAAAGGCCTCCATCAGGCTGCTCCCGGGCTCCGGGATCACATGGTCCACTGGAGGAGATGTGGATGTTTAGAGGAGAGAGGGCACAGGGATGAAAGGGTGAAGGGGGGATGGAAGGAGGAAGTTAGAAGTTTTGTAGGGAGGGGTTTAGGAGTAGAGGAAGGTGAGGGATGCAAAGAGGAAAGATGGCAGGTGGCATGAAACGAACAGACAGACAAAGAGGTGACAGAATGGGGTGGGGATAGTCACACGTAGGAAGATGAAGACAGGGCGGTGTCAGGATTTGTCTGCTGGTGTTTTTCTACTTTCTCCCTCTACAGTTTATCTTGCATAATCAGCTGTCTGTCTGAGTTCCCGCAGTGCTCAGCCAGTGGTGATCGCAAACCTTGTCAGATGTCACATTACATTTTGAACATCTTTGTCTGGGTGAGGCTCTCCTTGAAAAAAAAAAAAAACTTTTTTCAGTGGGACCTTTTTCAGCGGTGCAGTAAGGCGCTTTTGGGTGACAGTAACGGCACACGATATATTCAAGCTAGTAACTAGAGTATCTTTTACCCTTGCTGGAGTGTATAAACATGATATTTCCAATAGTATTTAATTGAAACTTCTGTTAGGATAGTCCCACAAAAGCAAAACCTCCCTGCTGAAACATGGATTATAACAGCAAAGGAGTATCATGCTCTTGCACATAAAAAATTACAAATAAAAACATGCATGTCTGTAAGATGAAGATTTAGTTAGTCGTTTATGTCTGCTTTCTACATTATTCACGGGCAAAGTAAATCCCCCTTTCAGTCACAGTGCACAAAATATCCCGCTCCGTCTTACTCAGCTGTAATGAAATAAGGCCTCCTGCTGGCTCGCCACCTGACCGGCTTCTTTATCTCATTAAGGAGGACCCAATCTGCTTATCTAGTCTTTGCATGTTGATAGGATAGAGCTGGAAATGGCAGTCACGAAAACAAAACGTTGTTTACTATGCCATACCATCTGAACGGTCACACAATCGCACAGCTTCATCTGTTCGCGGAGGAAGACATACGCAGTGTACGACGCACACAGGCACATACAAACCACAGTGCGCGCTTTCACTTTCTCTCTCACACATCACCCGCTGGAGTATAATCCCTCTGTGAATGGAGCCCATGAATAGAGCTTACTACAGTAACACGCCTGTTAGTGGCTGTGTCTGTCTGACACTGGCAAACAGGCAGCAGAGTCGGAGCCAGCTTTAGAAGAAGTTAATGGTATTAATGAGACTGTGGTATCTACCAGCTGTTGGCTGTGATAGCGTCTGGTCTCTAAACTACGGGCAGTGCACAAACACACACACACAAACTGATACTGTACACAGACAAGCATGAAGACACACACTGCTGCTCTATTTCTATGGGAGTAGTGTTTCACTCTAGGCCTCCCCCCGCCCCTCTTCCTCATTGCTATCCCCCCTTACACACAGTCTTTTGTATGGTCCCCTTTTGGAGAGCTGCCCAAAAACAGACTTCCCCCCCTTTTCTCTTTTCCTCTGTTGGGGTCTCTTCCCCCCCCCCCCTTTTTTTTTTTTTTTTTACTTTCCATCTGAAACTCATCCTTCACTGCGCGGACGATCCTTTCCTGCAGCCCTTACCGATCATGGTCGTGCCCCCGGCAAGAGCAGCCTTTGATCCCTGAGCAAAGTCATCCACGGTTGTGGTTCCACGGTACGGCATCTGGAAGTGGGTGTGGATGTCAATGCCACCCGGGATCACCATCTTTCCCTGGGCCTCGATGGTCTTCACACCACCGGGCACGATCAGGTTGTCGCCGATCTGCCTGTCGAGGGCAGATGATGTTGTCATTAAAGATGTTCACACAGCAGAAAATAAAGTGTACTTTACCTGGGCGTATTAATGCTTGTACTGTGCAATGACAGTGAACTAAATCTGAGATGTTACTACATTGAAGTTATGTTAAATTAAGCATTAAACTTTTATTTTGCCACAACATTTACAGCAATTTTTAGATCTGGTCCAGACTGGCTTTTTTTTTTTCCAATGGAAGGACATCTTTCTGAAACAATCAATGACGACGAAAACAAAAAAACAGTTCCTGACTTTAACATGACCGCAAAACAAAGTCAGCCAAGCTTGAAGCAGCACACTGTCACCATGTCAACACATCAACATTTCAACCCTGTTGTTCAGACTTTACGGAGGAGACAAGCCAGACAGGCAGGCAGGCAGGCAGAAGCCAGTGTCCCTGAGAGTTTGCCAGCAGCCCAATGGTCCAGAAGGCATCTGGGTGTTTGTTATGCAACACCAGGCTTTCTGTGGGTGCCTCTCTCTGAGCTGCCTGGCTGAGGGGCAGTGGGGACAAAGGGCCTATAACCGGAAAATCAAGCAGGAACAGGACAGAGAGTGAAGGAGAGGACAGGACAGACTGATTCGAGGAGAGACGTACCCTGGTCTCGTCTGATGGGGCAGAGACAGAGCTGGGGACTAGACACTCTAATTATAACTCCACTCCAAGGTGCAAGTGACCACCAGAAAGAAGGTCCGTTTGTCTGTTCATTTTCGATGAGCAGGACGCTCGTGTGCACGATCAAGCAGCTTGTGTTCATGCATTCATTGTTAAATTCAGTGTAGTTTTTCTTCTCTTCACTCTGGAGGAAGGGGTTCACTGTTATGTTTAGTTTGGGTTTTGGTTTGCCTGCCACCTCCCCTTCTACAAATTCTAATCGTAATTAAACACACTAATACATCACCTTTACGCTTCATCAACCTAGGTGTTATTCTCCTATGTTACTTTCCGTCAGACAGTTTGAGATTATTTCTGTTACACTGACATTTTTGGAAAACTCTCCATTCTTGTGGATGTGCCAAATCTCCAAAACAGCGAATGTGAGTAAAATCAAAACGGACAAAAATATGACAGTAAAGAACCGGAATTTCCCTTTAACATTTAGACAAACTGACCTGGACAAAACCATTTGATGGTACGATGTAAAACTTCATATTTTGTACTGCATAAGAAGAATTGTATTCCTCACAAAAATCTGCATTTTCATTAGAAGGATTCAAGAACGGATGAGAGCGGAGCAGAAACGAGGGCAGCGGAGGACTTACTTAATGAGGCCATCCTCCATGTAGATATCGGCATGGAAGGACTGGTCATCGTTCACGATCCTCCCGCCTTTGATCAGAAGCCTGTCGCTCTGTGGAGAGAATGATGAGGGGAAGGGAGGGACAAGAAGAAGGGATAAGAGAAATGTTAGAATTCAGTGCAAAATTCCTCCGGACAAAAGCCCCAGTTTTGGCTTCGCAACATCTCACGGGAAGACGATCTGACAGATTATTTGTGTTCTATGTTTGGGATTGCACAATGCTTCACTATTTCACATTTTATCATTTTATCCTCCGCTTTCCACTCGGAGGAGACGGACAATATTTCATTCATTCGTTCATTCATGGCTGGGAGGAGATGGGGCATGTTTGTCACTCTTGTACCATGTAAACACACTATGCACAGTTCAGCTCTGGACCACATTGTGGGCCCCCACCCCCACCCCCACCCACCCAGCTCTCCCTGTGGTCCTGTGCATCAAAGTGGTTTGATTCCCCCTGCAAGCAGCCCATATTTACATCGACGTTTTCTTCATATTCTTGTTAAATGAGCCTGTCAAATAATACAGAGCTTGCAGATCCTCTCTAGCAGTGTTCCACTATGGAAAATGTGCACAAATTTTTTTTCTTGGGTCAAACCAATGCAGTGACTTCATAGCCTCTTAAACATATACAATCATAGAAAACCAGCTCTCTGTTAACTTTGCTAGCTTAGCCTTCCTCTGCATGCATTTGTCATACATGCTTCACCATTTTCACTTCCTGATTAGTGTGGCATATTCACTAGTCATACCATTTTAAATGAGGAATGAGGAATTTCATCACAGTTCACACCAATTAATACATAACACTTATACCGTCCGAATACAGTAACTAATATAGATTATTGGTGCACAAAGTAATGCTTGCGATCATCATCATTGTAACTGTCGTCATGGTAGCTGCCTTCAAGCTCACAAAGGTAACACTAACTGGTAAAAATACAACTGTCTGGGTAAATCTGGGTGTGCCAGTCTGATCACATGTATGCTTTACAAAATCAGCAACCGCTTTTGAGGTGCTCCTTTTTTTCCACAACATGTTGAGGATTATTTTGCTTTGAAACAGCAGCCGTGGTGACCAGGTCTCCCAGAGGAAGTAAATCCTTCACGTTATGATAAGTTAATGATGAATGAATATGAAATCTGATTCCACGGGAAGATAGATGGAGCAGGTTCTATCTTCCATTCTCCTGTGTTAAATGACCTGGACAAGTCATGGTGATTTCAACCGTTTGCCGCAGGAAGCAGAGCTGAAGCTGCTTTAACCGACTGATCATGGATTAACATCTTAACCACGTTTATCCAGATCTTGTTATGCAACAATTCTAGCTGTGGATGTTATTTTTCCCAGCATAACCCATTTATACAAACAGACCAAATGCATTTCGCTTATATTGATTATTGATCGCTTCATGAGGAGGGATATTTTTAATACGCATGAGAAAATAACAATCCTTGTCACTGAATGTGTCGCAGACATCCCACTTTGGTGTGGAAAAAAAATGAAACAGCAGAGTGCTGTCACGTCTGAGGGACCCTTCAACCTCACATTTCGTCATGTGGTCCGATCTGGGCGTTGCCATGACGCCACACAGCCAGACATCAAATCTGCTGCTGCTGCCGCTGCACCACAGACTAACTCTAGCAGGCTGTTGTCATGGTAACGGGTTGACTGCAGGGAGAGAGACTAGAGAGGAGGAGGAGACTGGGCGACTGGTTGTGCTGACTTATTGGAAAGCCGGTTGACTGTGCAACTGGCTGTTGAACAGGGTGGAGGGGCTACGGGGATAGAGGGGCGGTTGTTGTTGGGTAGATGGGCACCTGTGCAGCCCAGTTGGTTGGGTGGTTGATCTGTGGGAAAACTGGTGGTTAATCACCTTGCCACATGAAGACAGGCTGAATTATTATGTCAGTGGAGTATAGTGAGTAAATTAGTCAATCAATCAACTAGTCAAAAATGATTTATCTCATCTTCATCTTATAGGATACTGGACTGACTTTATTTGGGCTTCAGGTTCTGTTTTTCAGCCGCCGCAAGGAAACTGAAGACGTCATCTTGGACTCTGGGCATTTTATAAACCAAACTATTAATTGCTAAAATAATCATGACTTAAATAAATCAATAATTCAAGTAACTGTTGGTTGCAATAATATGATACTCATGTTACAGCATCTTACAACCGGACACTTCTCACTGTTACACTTTCATTGTAATAATTGCTGCTGCAGCTCCTTCTACTTCCTAAGCTTTGGCACTGCTGATTAAACAAAAATTTACTGTGATGTTCATGTATGTGTTAATGAAGGGGGATTAGTCCCATCCCTGCAGGATCCTTGTTGCTGCTCTGATTCTTTGAGCTCCCTGTGCAGCCATTTTCTATAAACGGTAAATGACTGCGCTAAATCCATTTCATTCAACAATTCTGATAACCAATTAATAATTTAAGGTATCTCTCAAGCGAAAAATGCTAAATATTTTCTGATACCTGCTTTTGAAATGGGAAGATGCAATTCTTGGTTTTATTATGTCAAGTCAAGTTGAATGCTTTTGGGCTTTGGGCTGTTTTGGGGGCGGGACAAGCAGGATATCTATCAAATATATTAAATAGAATTGCAGATAACATTTGTTTTCATTAGTGATTGATCAGCTGATCATTTTGTTTAAAAGACATCAGAAAATCTGTGCAAAATGCCTGTTGTAATTTCTTACAAGGTGATCAATAAATCCATTAAATAAATGAATAAATGGTGAAAACAATCATTAGCTACAGCCTGTCAAAAAACAGCCTCTAATATAAAGCCTCAGTAATACATTCACATTCTGTAAAATGGCAGGACTTGGCTCCCTCAGACTTCCCTGTTCTCCCATCAGCACATATGTGGAGTGATTTACACCCTTGGCTGTGGACCCAGTGTTTCATCACTGTAATGAACTGCAGCCGCTCCCTCACACATCACAAAAAAAAAAAATAAATAAAATGAAAAATAAAAAAATGCATAATACACTTCTGTCTGTAGCTCAAATTATACAAGCTCCATATCTGCTGAGCTCATAAACACAAGCAGTGTGTGTATTCTTGCATCTTTGTGTTTGTGTGTGTGCGATGGTGATGGAGCAGTGTGAAACAGAGCCCAGAACCTTCCCAGGCAACCACACCCTGAAGCAACACATTACAACACACAGTCATCAGCGGCTGGAACATAGCACCAGTATAGATCATACTGTAGAGCACAGTGCCCTGAAACTGTCGCTCATTAGCTCGGACAGTTCCTTCCAAAGCAGAGCACTGCCCGGCTGCTTTAACTCCCTGCATTTGTAATGAACTTGAAAAGGGAGAGCATACTCATAACTTCATTTCACCTCTTTCACGGAAATACTGTGATATCATCTTAAATCTTGTCTAGATATAATCAAAGTCAACATCTTAAAATCCATAAACTAACAGAAATGCAGAAATGGCCTATATTTGAATAGTATAGTGATAAAACAACTAGCTGATTATTAATCTGTCAATCAATAAAAATTAAATGAGTTTAATTCAGGAATTTATTGAGCAAAAGTGCTAACATTCACTGTTTTCAGATTCTCAGATTCTCTCAGTTTCAATTAGTTTTCTTATCGATTACTCTTATCGATTATTTCTCCAATTGATCGATTAATCATTTAGTGTTAATAGCTTGTTTTCAAAACCTAAATATATAGAGTTTATAAGCGCACATGACAAAGAAGAGCAGCAGATCCTTCAGTGAATCCAAATTGATTGTGATTATGATGAATTGATTACGGCTAGTTGTTGCAGCTCTAAAGCAACTGTCAGATTAATCACAAACTCCCAGTGCTGACTCAGGCTAAACGCAGCTAGGAATGAGTCATCACAAAATGCTTGAGTCACTTGTTATGATAATAAATAGCATGCGTGTGCAGAAAATTAACAATATTGATAACTGATTAATCGTTTCAGTGAATAAATAAAAGAGGAATGATAAACTTTTGCTTCTGAAATGTGAGGATTTGTTGTTTTCCTCTGTTTTGTGTCGCTGGGAACTGAACACCTTTGGTCGGAGAAAACAACCAATTTAAGACAGAAGGTTTTTTTTCCATTTTCAAATATTTTATAGATGAAACCATTTGTTCATTCATTACTGAAAAAAGAAAAAAATGCTATGATAATAACGGCCAGTTTGAGCCTTTATACAGTAATAATGGATTATAACTCAGCAGCACAGACCTGCCCACATCAACTGCATCAGATGAGGAAAGAGTTTTTATCTGATTTATAATACTGCAGTGAGGGGTGTGTCCCCATGCATGGGTGCCTTACAGAAGTGCCTCAGCAGTCTCTCACTCTCACAGACACACACACACAAACACACACACTCATATTCCCATTTGTCAGTTACTGCCCACTCTCTGGTCTATAACAGCATGCAAGAGACCACAATCATTCGACAATCAATAGCTTTCCATTTCCATTACAACCCCGCAACTGTAGGTTTGCTGATTTTAGTATTCCTCAGTCGGTGCGTCTGCCAATGAAATACATGGTGAACTTTTTAGAACTGTAGACTGCATTTGATGTTAGCCTTTAGTTTTTTCTTTAGTCAGTGGAAAACTCCATGTTGAAATGCTTAACGTCAACAGCTTAAACCATTATGCAAAAATAAAACAGAGCAAATTTTCTGAATGGCAACAGGCATGTCCGAACTGTCACAGAATGTCAACAACACATAACTTAAATCTAAGTAGTGGTAGTGTTTGGCAGGGTGGGTGACCAGACTGTCAAGCCTTTTTTTAAAGACACATAATCTGAGACAGGAGTTTTTTCATTAACACTGCTTAATCACACTTCATAAATCTAAAGGCAGACAACATTTATTGGGGGTTTTTCCTTGATTTTTCTTTGAACAGGAAGCCTCAAACTGTCACATTCGCCAGCACTCGGGTCATTCGGCAACAAACAGCAACACGCTAAACTTCAATATATCATGGTAAATATAGCAAGTGACGGCTTGCTGTTTCCCAATGTTGCCAGTTATGAAGTCAGCGTGTG